TTAAGATCGTTGTATATGAGAGCAGGAAAATGTACTATTTCTGTGTTTTTTCTTTTTAGGGCTGACTACCCCGCTTTAGTGGTAAAAGCTAGTGGATTGGCAGCAGGGAAGGGGGTGGTGGTCGCTAAAACTAAACCTGAGGCTTGTCAGGCAGTCTGTGATATGTTAAATGTGAGTAGATTTTCAAATAACATTTTATATTTGAGTAGACTTGTAGAACTGCCTGGCAGTTTTAGATTGTGTTAAAAAGAATAAGGATTTTCTTTTAATGCTGGTAGTTGTGATAATAACTGTGAAATCACTAATTTTCATGGGGGTTAATTTTCATTGTTTTCAAGGTATGAAGAGACCCGTGAATTCATCCCCACCACGAAATGTAAATTTTCACATATTACTACACAACATTTTTTTTATATTGGAAATTAAATCCCCACAAACCCATATTTTTTTTCTCAAACCATGAAAATTTGATCCTACAAATATTTGTGATTTCCCAGTATGTTAAATAAGAGTAAAGTAGCAGATTGAGAGACAGCCTTTGATATATTACATATGCTGAACAGTTCTACATAAAGCCATACCTTTATTACAGATCATTAATTTATAAAGTTAAATGGTATGGGAAGAAAAGCCTTTGGATTAAATTGATATTACATGTATTAATAAGTAGAGGTTTGATTATAATTATAGATTTGATCTATATGTATTTGATGCTATGAAAGGCCTACATTATAATTTTTTGATCAGGTTGAAAACATTCTCAGTAAATTAAGAATTACTTGGATGTGTTCAGGGTATTACTTTCTGATTTTTTTAAGAACAAGATGTTTGGATCAGCAGGGGAAACAGTGGTTGTGGAGGAACTTCTGACGGGAGATGAAGTCTCGGTGAGGGAACTCTTTACACATTTGACCAAAAAATTTTTTTAACATAAACATATTTTCTGTTATATTTATTTTAAAACAGTAAATTCATTAATTTATAATCAATTTTTATTTTAATATACATTCTAATTCTCTGGTTTGAAAAAAAGAGTCAGTGATTTCCTGATGATAAACAACTGTGTATTAAATCATCTTTTTATGACGTTTTTTAGTGTTTAGCTTTCTCTGATGGCTCCACAATATCCATGATGCCCCCTGCACAGGATCACAAACAACTGAATGATGGAGACACAGGCCCCAATACAGGGGGAATGGGGGCCATTTGTCCTTATCCTCTGGTGAGTAGAATTAACAGAAGGATTGGGTTTTAACCAATGAGATTTGTTGTACATGTATTAAAATGTCTGCATTTAAAACAAAAGTAAAACAGGCAAGGAAAGTCATACGCAAAATGTTTCCCACTAACATCGCTATATATTGAATGCACACCTTTGTGCTGCCAATGGTTGATTAAATGCGCCAATTTTCACTTCAATGCAACTGTGGCGTGTGGCGCAAGCCCTTCGCAATAACTGATCTTCTTTTTGAAATGTCTTTTAACTCAATAAACTTTTTTATTTATGTGTAGATATCAGACAAAGATTTGGAGATCATTAGAAAGGAGATATTACAGAGAGCTGTGGATGGAATGAAAAAGGAGGGCTTCCCATTTGTTGGTAGGATGTCAGAACTTAAGTGCAGTTTGCTAGTGGGATAGCTTAAATTTGCTAATAAGCAACCAAAATTACTTTTAAAACTTCTTAAATAAGCATATTCTAATGCAACTGTTTTGTAAAATGCATTTTGATTGGCTAATGCACTGATGTTTGAGGCAGTAAAATGAGCATTAACGAGAGTGAAAGCTTATTGTGACATCATAATAGAGCGACACAAAAACACAATGCTCCATGACTTACATGTATTTCATATAACAAAACTCAACAAAATAAGAAGTAAACATCAAACAAAATGCATAGATTGCATTAAAATGGGAATAACTATCTTCTAATTTGGTATTTGTGACCAGTAATGCTGTTTTAATGGTTGCAAACATCCGTTTTACCAGCTCCACTTGTGCGTCGCCAGTAAACTCAGTTTGCGGCCGTTAAATCAGCATTAACGGGCGCAAATACCAAATTAGAAGATAGTTATTCCCTAATCGACAAACATGTAAACTTTTGTATCTCAAACACAGATATGTAGAATATCATGGAAATATTGAAGTGGTTTGACAAGGATATAGGTAAACAGATTTTATATATGTTAAAAACATATCTAACAAAATGTGTTTGTGAAAAACTGATGTCCCTGTATGGCAACTTAAAGCAAAGGTTAAACTTTCTCAAATGCAAATCAAATATGTTGGTACCCAAAGTAAGGACTTGTCCCGAGGAATATACCTGTGAAATATGAAAGCCCTAGCAGCAACCATTGAAAAGATATGGAAAAGGGTTAAAGTTTTCAAAAGTCAAGGTCAAATGTTCAAAATTAATGGTGCCCAAGGAAAGGTGTTTTCACAAGAAATTCACATGTGAAATATGAAAGCCCTAGCACCAACCATTCAAAAGATATGGCCAAGTAAATCAAACTCCAAAGTCAAGGTCAATGGGTTATAAATCTAAAGGAAGGTCTTGTCACAAGGATTACACATGTGAAGAATGAAAGCCCTAGCACTAACTGTTCAAAAGTTATGTCTAAGGTTAAAGTAGGTCAAACCCTAAGGTCTAGGTCAAAGGGTCAAAGTTGTTAGTATCTAAAGGAAAGTCTTGTCACAAGGATTACTTATGTGAAGTATGAAAGCCCTAGCACCAACCTTTCAAAGGTTATGGCCAAGGTTAAAGTTTTTCAAAAGTAGGTCAAACTCCAAGGTCAAGGTCAAAAGGTCAAATATGATGGTACCCAAAGAAAGGTCAAGTCACAAGGAATAAACATGTGAAATATGAAAGCCATAGCACCAACTAATCAAAAGTTATGGGCAATGTTAAAGTTTTTGCCGACAAACAGCTAGACAGACAGCTAGACTGATGGACAGGGCAAAAACTATATACCCCAAAATCTTCGATACGGGGGCATAAAAAGAAGATATTCACTAGAGTAAAACTTGTGAAATCCAGACATTGTGCCTAATATGATGTAAACTTTAAGTCTCTTTCAGTGAATTTAACTGTTTAAAATGTAGTGTAATCTGGAATGTTGTCTAATCAGGCTTATTTCTTGGGAACCAGCATTGATACAAGCTGAACTGTAATTTGGAACTAAAAACTCTACCACTTTACATACAATTGTATGTGTGTGTTCAGGTAATGGAACATATTAATGCCAAATTCATCAACTTTAATATCTTGAACCCTCGGATGTTTCAGTATTTTTCCTCAGTCCTGACAAGTTCAAGATATCAAAGTTTAATTGTTTATTAGCATGAATACATAGGTTTATGCAGCCTAACATTGGGTAAAAACTCCTGCACTCATCAACGTCACAAATCATGTAAGAGAAAAGAAGAAAATATATGCCTAAACCCCTGCCTAATTAGTCAGGTGCTCTACCAACTGAGCTACCCATGCCGATATCCACAGCCTAAACCATTAGAGGTAGTTGGTTCCTATCTTGCAGAGTCTGAGACCTAAGGTCATCAAACATTGATACATCTATAGAAGAGGGTCTGTCAAAACCCAATAGTAGGTCATGGTGATCTAATTACATAATGTCATAGCTTTATGAATGTAGTCAAACTGTGTCCAGGTAATATCTTTTGAGAATCAGACTCATCAAGCATTGTCCTTTTTTATACCCATAATTTTGGGGTACATGTGTTCTGTTTTTGTTTGACCCAGTGCTGAACTCTTTCATGCTTGAACAGCTGAAGTACATGTTTAATATATTAAGAAATTTAATTTTTTTTAAATTATCCTGTACATAAACATGGTTTTAGAAATGTTTAGGTCATATCATAAGGTTTGGATGTTTTGTATTTATAATGGCATTTATGATGTAGGTGTTCTGTATGCTGGGATAATGCTAACATCTGCTGGACCAAAAGTTTTGGAATTTAATTGTCGATTTGGAGACCCGGAAACACAGGTGAGTTAAGGTAGCTAAGGACACCTGACCTCCAAAAAAACCTCCCAATAGATTTTGCTGAAATTTTCATATGGCATAAAGGAATATTTAATGGACATTTAGTGGAAATATGAACATGGCATTGAGGGTTAATTGCAAAATCAGAGGGTTATGGGTTATCTCCCCTCTCCAGTCATTCCAAAAATCATAATACAACATATATATTACCGATGAAAACTTAATTTTGCAATATGCATTCAATATTTAAAATTATTTTTAAACAATTTTGATACTCTTAACTTATTTTAACAATGGATTGTTTGAAAAGAAACATATTAAGAGAATAGTGCATATAAAACTCTTTATATTCAACAAATTTGACTGTTTTCATATACACAGATTTGATACTTTTTAAATTCTAAAAAAATATCTGTCCAATAGATTTTTGATTTTTTGTCATAATGTGAAAGATTTGTCCAACACCGTTCTTCACTCAAAAAATCTTGGCCACATTGAGGGCTAATAAGGTACCAAATGGTCCAAAAGAAACATCTTAGCCATACTGAGCACTGCACAATACACGTAAGAATATCATTGAAAAGATATGATCAGCACTCTTTCAAAATGATCAAAAGTAATATCATTCAATCAAACATATATGAGCAGGTACTGGATAATAACATTAGTCTTTAATCTGAGACATACATAAATAATACATAAACAAATTTTTAAAAAAAGAAAAACATAAGAACAGCCCATTACTGCACCTGAAATAACACTTCACACAGAACATTTTAATATATGAAAAGTGAAACTGGAGAGTATATATATGAATATGTGGAGCAGCTTATATTAATGAACCTGACAAACACTCACACAGTAGATTATGCATACATGTAATAAAGAATAGTGTATACCAGTATACTGAAAGGCCTATTTCTGAACCCGACATATCACTTGTACAGTGGATTATGCATAATAAAGAATAGTGTTTATTATATGATTGAATAATTTCCCTCTTTCTGATTGGTTGAGATCCAACAATGTTAGAAAAATACTACGTTATATTGACCTACACGTGACCTTCCAGGTCAATATAAGGAATTATTGCAGGTCAATATAATGAATCATGTGACCTTGCAGGTCAATATAAGGAATTATTGCAGGTCAATATAATGAATCACGTGACCTTCAAGGTCAATATAAGGAATTATTGCAGGTCAATATCATGAATTATTCCTGTTCCATTTTTTCATGTTACAATGTGTTCTTGTTGAAATTTTTCGTTAAAACTTTCAATTAAAGCAAAAAAAAAACAGTCTTGTAGGAGTTTGCTATCATTTAATCATATAATAAAACAGTTATTGCTGTTTTTTGAGGTCAATACGATGATTTAGACACCTTCGAAGTACAATATTCACCTCGCCCTTCGGGCTTGGTGAATATTGTACTCCTCAGGTGTCTAAATCATCGTATTGACCTCAAAAACCAGCAATAATTGTATAATATATTGAAAGGCCTATTTCTGAACCCGACATAACACTTGTACAATGAATTATGCATAAAATTTTTAAAATGAATAGTATACATATGCAGCTGACATACATGTAACACAGTAGTACATTATACATGAAAATTAAAAAAAAAAAGTGTACAATAGTAGATATGGAGCAGTCTATTACCACACCAGACATAACACTCACGTAGTAGATTATACATGAAAAATGAAAAAAAAAAAAAAAAAGACTATATTTGAAGCGATCTGTTACCACACCAGATGTAACACTCAAACAAGAGATAATAATATGAAAATTGACAACAAAAGTTGTTTTTGTTAGGTCAGTTTCTTCAAGTGATTCTTGTCCTGCATTTTTGGAAGAGTCTGAGAGTTCACATATTCCCCAAAATGTCTATATCCTGAATGTAGAATTTCAGTATTGAGTATATAAAAATGTATACATATATAACTTGCAGTAGTTTACACCCCATAATTAGCCAATTTTCTACACTTACCGGGTATTAAATTTGGCTTTAAAAAAATTCAAATGAAGATATTACCATGAGTGGATAATTTGCGCGCCTTCTGCCTTCCTTGGATGTGGTAGCCGTTTCTCATGCTCCCTCTCTGGAATCGAACCCTGATTCCCCATTACCCATTACAACCCTGGTTTAGAACACTGACTAGGCCAAAATTCATGCAAAAATCTGTGCTTTAATATTTAAATCCTGTTTTGCCAACTTTGGAGGTTTATTTTAAAGTTGCAGTTAATAGATTTTGGCTTCAAAATGCAAATATGAAAAATTTAGACAAACATACGATGGAAAACAACTAAAGAATATAGAGTTGATTTTTAAAATTTTTTAATGTTAATTTTTTCGGGAAATTGTTGTCTCCTATAGGTGAAATTCTGAAAACATCCTTTCCCAAAGAAAATGATGAGAGAGGGAATTTGAAAAAAATAAGTAAAAGGTTTAAAATCCAGATGTTTGACTCTCAGATTACTGAGGTTTGACTGCATGCATACAATTCTCAAACACCTTGATGAGTACCATGTTAATTTATGTTTTGTCAATAATTCTCACTATTGTATATTTCAAGTCTATTTACTTTATAATATTCTGCCTTATTTCAGTCCATTCCTTATGAATTTGATTTTAATTTATAATATTTTCTGGCCATTCTGAATATATAATTCTGACAATTGTATATTTTCAGTCCATCTTGCCTTTACTGGAGTCTGACCTGTATGAAATATGTCAAGCCTGTGTGGAGGGAAAACTCACCCAGAACCTCCCACAGTTTACCTTGGACCTGTATACAGCAGGGGTGGTTCTGGCTAGTGGGGGATACCCTGGGGTGTACAAGAAAGGGTTTCTTATCTCCGGTAATCAACAGAAAAACTGTCACAAAAAAAATGGTGTTAATCTGTAATTTAACTAAAAACTTAAGAAATTGATCAAATTGAATAATAATTACATGTATTTGATTCTGTGCTTGCTATAACTTAAAATAAGACAGACACCCCCATCACTATACCCCCATACTTAAAAAGTGAGGGATATAAAGATATCCTAAACATTCCTTGTTTGTATGCATAAGGAATCCTCATTTTTATATTTTCATAAAATAGTATATGTGTTTTTTTTTTTATAAACAATGAAAAAACTGTTTAAATTTTGAAGACTGATGTTATAAACCATGGCATGCACACCAGAAAAACAAGATTAATTATTAGGGCCCCGCAAGGATTTGCGGGTGCCCTATAGTAATCACTCTGTCTGTCTGTCTGTCTGTCCGTCTGTCATTCTTCCGTCCACAAATTTTCTGTTTTTTTCTAATAACTTTTTTTAGGGTTGACCAATTAAGTTCAAATTTGGTATGTTGGTTTAATAGGCAGTAAGACATATTTTGATGCTTAGTTTGGTTCTCTATGTCATCCGGTTTGGAGCTGGGGTGGTCGGGTATATTCCTTAACTTTATATAAGAGTGAATGGGCAAAGAGAGATAACTGCTGAGAATGTTCCTATTGTAAACTATGAAAGGCTGCAATGAGTCTCTTGGGATTAATTAACTTTCCTCTTGAAGAAAATCCAAAGCATTTATCTTTATCTGCCACATTAAGATTAATTAACACCTCTGTCTGCAAATGAAGTTTGTTTTGAAGTTAAGGTCAATTCTGAATGATGTTTACATTTTCTGAAATGTGGATTTAAATAATGTTCATACTTTATTTTGTTAAAATACACAATGAGTTATGATTTTATTGATTTCTAAAAACAAGATATAGATAAAGATATCGTTTTTATTATTATTTTCTTTTTTCTTTTTTTTCTTTTTTTCTGCCTTATGTAAATTCAAGAATACTAATTATTTTAACAGTTATTCAGATAATAACCTCATTCTGTCATTGCTGAAAAAGTTCTTATTGTAAACTTGGAAGAAAAGGTTGAGAGAGCAGTATAATTAATCCCGTGGGTTTGATTATCTTGCTGGTTTGCAGAATATTTTAGAGGGTTATCTTTCTGTCACTTTAAGATTAATTAACACCTTTGTCTGCAACTGATATTTGTTTTGAAGTTAAGGTCAAATCTGGGTGATATTTGCATTCACTGAAGGCTGGCATTTTAGAAAACACATGCTTCATTCATTTTTAAATATACATTTAATTGAGTTATTATAGATATGTTTTTTACTGCCTTATGTAAATACAAGGATACTATTTACAGATTGTTGGATATTTAGCACTTGCTGTTACTAATTCTTTATATATTTTGAAATTTTTGGGAATCAAGTAAAATTCTCATCCCCTAATCTGCACCCTTATATTTCTAACCCTCGGCGGGGCCCTTGCTGACTGGTCAGATTTCTAGTTTGTTCAACTTTATACTAGGTATTGACGGGGTGGAGAAGATGGGACCCAGAGTTCTGGTGTTCCATGCAGGGACGGCCAAGCAAGAGCAGGGTATAGTGACCAGTGGTGGGCGTGTCCTGGCTGTAGTGGCCGTGAACTCTGACCTCCAGTCAGCCTGTTCTGAAGCCCAGAAGTGGGCGGGATTTATTAAGTTTGATGGAGTTTATCATAGGTCTGATATTGGATTCAGGGTACTGGACAGGTGTGTCTAAACAACATTCAATCAATGCTTAAGAAAGATTTTGAAAACTCCCAAGCTGAAAGCACCCAATGCATGACTCTTGCTTATCCTTTAATCTTATTTCTTTTACATCACAAATTTTGTTTTCAGATGAATATGCTCGCATGAGATAAGCACCTTCTATAAACATTTGGAAAATAATATCTTAACTTGGAATTGAAATAAATACAATAAGTTTTAATTGTGCGAAATTTATATTTGTTAACCTTGGCTTGCATCTGTAGAAAATGTGTAATGAAGCAACTAATCAAGTTTTATATAGCAATATATCCATCAAGATGTTAGAAAAGAAGAACTGCTTTTGCTATATTTACACATGAATATTCTTTTGAATTCATGGAATATTACAGGCATCCAAAAACAGTTTCCCCCCATCTCTCATACCAAGATTCTGGAGTAAACATTGAGGCTGGTAACAGTCTGGTTAAGGCCATTCAGCCATTGGCTAAAGACACCATGAGACCTGGATGTGATGCTAGTCTGGGTGGATTTGGTGCTTTGTTTGACATCAAAGCTGCAGGATTCTCTGATCCTATGCTGGTGTCAGGTACAGATGGAGTGGGCACAAAACTTAAGGTCAGTTGACATAAGATAGAGTAGCCACAAAACTAAATTTCAGTTTATACTGGTGTCAGGTACAGATGGAGTGGGCACAAAAGTCAGGGTCAATAAAGGGATGGGAGGGGGATTCAGATTTACTGATCCTTTACTGGTGTCTGGTACAGATGGAGTGGGCACAAAACTTAAGGTCAGTTTATACTGGTGTCAGGTACAAATTTTGCTATCATAGGGTCTAAAAATTCATAGATAATGCAGTATTCCTCAAGATTATAAACATTATAAACTATCTTCACTATTCAGAAGGTGTCATTTTCCTTCACTCTTGTTTGAAAATAACCAGAATGATTGTAGATTTATTATAATTCATCATAGAAAAATGGTCCCCAGACCATAGCTATGGCAATTCATCCTTTTTGTCGCAGTTTTCTCAGCAATCGCTCATCACAGATGCTTAAAGATTTAGCACACTCTTTGTTGAGGCATGCCATATGTTGGGATTCATTTTTGTTTGAATCTGATGTCAACTTCCTGTTTATCTGTGCAACTGTTTGTACAATATGTAACAAAGGAGTATTCTACTTAAGTATAGTAGTGTGGTCCCTTTTTAAACCCTTGGTTTACCGGTTAAATATTAGCATACCGTACTTTGTTTGTTTTCATTGTTTATAACGAAGTATTTCTAACTAAAACATTGTGTATTTATAATGAATAATTAAACATATCAAAAAATACAAGCCTATTTTTAACACCTATCGCACTAAAAAATGCCGGAACATTTCCCCCCGGTCAGACTACGGTTTTTCTATTACATGGAAATGGGCGGAGACATTTAGATTATATACTATAAAAAGAAGATCTTGGTATGATACGTATTTTTCTTTCAAAGACGAATTATATGTTCAAGATTCACAATGAACTACAAATACATTTTTTCTATTTTATACAAAACTTTGCCAATAAAAACTATATAATAACAAGATGAACCAAACAAGTCCATGTTGATCGATATAAAACTGAGTACGTTTCAAATGAGAACTAGCACGTTTACTGGAGGCATTTACCCGTAACGATACAAATCCACGTGGCTTGTTATGATTCTAAACAGGTCATAAAGAGGTTGATCGCATGTAAATGAAGTCAGCGAAGATATTTAAAATCACAATACTTTTAATTAGAAAACATAGAGCACAAGGTTGTTCAACAAAGATATTTTCACTTGACCTTTACACATATAATATACACATTATATTTCAAACTCGACTCTGAACAAACCTGTGCTCGGTGTTTACGAAAGCTTTGAAATATGTAGCTGTCACTGATTTCTTTTGATATTCATGAAAATCAAAGGACCCCACCTTCAACGCGCAGCTTCGAATGCTGCCTATATCTATTGTTTGACATTTTTAAATGATGATTCAAATAATAAAGTCATTAGTTAATAATAAAATTTAATTTTTAAAAAATTTAATAAATGTTTGAAATTTGACGAGTAACCAGCGACCACAGATAAGCCTTATTGAGACTTGTTCTTTTCATTGCAGTTTTTTCAGTAACTACTTGTTCTGCTCAAATGCTTGAAATTTTAGCACACTCTTTGTTGAGGCATGCAATATGGTGGGTAGTGATGGGAATCGGTAAGAATTTCATAATCGATGATCAGGCTACTGTAACTAACTAATTATCAATTATAATTGGACATTTACAAAGTCTGTCAATTTAGCTTATTAAATGGTAAGAATGGGTGAATAACTACTTTCTGTGGTGGTCCAGCTGTAGTTAGAATAATCTAACTGTGTCTCGGGACAAGCCCTAGTCCTTAGGACAATATATTTGTCCTAGTCCTTAGGACAATATATTTTAACAATAGAACGTTCTATCTAGTCTAGCTGGTTCATAGTTCATTTTGTAGAATCCAGAGTACGTCCATACCCGGGAATGAGCGTTGTTATCCAGGTATGAATACCAGAATGTCTGTTCCTCTGCACCATTACGATGCACAAATAAGTTAATAGACAAGTCGCAGCTGGAATATTCGGCTTAAAAACTATTACCAGGGACCTATATACTTAGTATATAGGTCCCTGCTATTACGCTTGTAAAATAAAATAAATTACCCGATTAATCGGAATAAAAAATTTGTAATCGAGCGCTTGGATTATGCCAGCAATCGACTGATTTTCGATTATAATCGATGATTGGAACACCACTAATGGTGGGATTCAATTTTGTATGAATCGGATGTCAACTTCCTGTTCATCCCTGTGTCTGTCTGTAACTGAACTTGTGTATATTCACATCAGAGAGGGGGTATTACCAATGAGTGTTGGCTCACACTGACTTCTTATTTTGGCTCAGAGATTCTTCTGGTAATTTTTTTTTTGATTTAACGAATTTGACATTTTTAGAGACATTGTCAAATTGAGCCCACCTGACCTTTTCCCAACAACTATATACAGAGACAGTTGTTTGGAAATGGTCAGGTGGCTTAGAATAGACTAGAATTATAAAAAATAGATATATAAATATTTTACCAGTATTAGTCTGGTACACACAAGAAAAATTTTACCATCAGTCTTTAATAAGAATACCTGTTTGTAAAAACAAAGTGCAGTATTTTTGCATTTTAAATATAGATAGCTCAGGAAGTGGGTGACCATTCCACTATAGGTCAAGACTTGGTGGCCATGTGTGTAAATGATATCCTGGTACAGGGGGCGGAGCCTCTGTTTTTCCTAGACTATTTTGCCACAGGTCACTTGAATGTAGACACAGCCAGGGAAATTATCTCAGGGATAGCCACTGGCTGTAGACAAGCAAGTTGTGCCCTTGTGGGTAAGATCACTGTATGAAATGTTGTCTCCACTTTCAGTAAAAACTTTATATACCAGGATACATATATTTTTATTTCTAAAGACAATTAGCTCTACCAAGTCAAAATATCATGTGAATTTGTCTTTTTGGTACAGCATATTTCCAGTAACCTATCAAAAATTGGTATTGAAAATAATCTTTTCAGTGGTAGAAAGTTTTAAAGTTCATACCAAATGTAGACGAGGATTGAAGAACAGAGCCATTAAAATGTACTCAAACAAAAGTGTGCTCATGCATGCAAACAAATAAAACTCCAGTTAAATTTATTCTGTTGATATACCTTTTTGTTGAAATAATTTTTTTTTTCAAGTGAATTTTAGGTAACATCTTTAGAATAGAATATTTATGCACTTATTAATGTGCAACTTTTGCACGAGATGAGAATGTGAAATGTTCCTAGAAGAAGGTCCATCAGCAATTTTTTTGTTTGTGTAGGGGGAGAAACAGCAGAGATGCCAGGGATGTATCAGGGAGGGGAGTATGATCTTGCTGGATTTGCTGTTGGAGCTGTGGAACGTGGACAAATTCTACCCAGGATGCAACAGATGCTGGAGGGGGATGTTCTGATTGGTTTGGCTTCCAGTGGTCTCCATAGTAATGGGTTCAGTCTGGTGAGGAAGGTGGTGGAAATGTCTGGGTTGGGATATGATGTTCCCTCCCCCCTCCGTAAAGAAAAAACCCTGGGTAGGTCACAGGAAGTATTGGTGTTCAGAATCTGTCAATCATAGTGTTTAAAGATTATTGAATTTAGAGGAAATAAATTATGGTTTCTTGCTAATTATTGTATGTTTTAAAATGTGTAGGTATGTGCCTAAACTTTAACAAAGTAATCTTTTACTATGCATATACTTTTTGTTCAGGAGAAGAGCTCTTAGTGCCCACAAAGATTTATGTCACAGAGTTACTTCCCTTGATGAATCAGGGTCATGTGAAAGCTTTTTGTCACATCACAGGAGGGGGTCTAATGGAGAATCTCCCCCGCGTTTTACCAGGTCATCTGAAGGCTCAGATTGATGCCAGTCTGTGGTCTGTACCGTCAGTCTTTGGTTGGCTGGCTCACAAGGTGAGATACTGGTATCTTTGTCCTCTATCAGGGGCTTCAGAACTAACATTTTAATAAGACTATTGTGGTTAAATAAGCCCCCTTGTGAACCTTTCTCTTTGAATTGATTAATTTTTTGAATAAATAAAGACTGACTACCTTATTTTAAGTGAGAGTGTTGATGATTATCCAGTGAAATACCATACCAGGGTTCCAAAGTCAATTGCTTCATATTCCTTAAAGAATAATATAAAAATTGTAAAAAAAAAAAAAAAAATCTTGCAGAAATCATGAAAGATAATCATTAAAAAAACTATTGTTTCTTGGGCAAAATTTTTTTCCTTTAGCAAGATAAATACATGTAATTTTTTAAATGTCATATAATTTGCTGTTTGTTGATTGACAGGGCAACATTACAGCTAGTGAGATGGCCCGGACATTTAACTGTGGAGTGGGTGGGGTTCTAGTGATTGACAGATCCCTGACAGAGTTTGTTCTACAACATTTACTGACCTCAGGGCTGAAGGCCTCTGTCATAGGAAAACTGCAGGACAAGCAAGGTAAATGATGTACAAAAATTCTGTCAAGTATTTAAAACTTAGAGTGCAATTGAAATTAAAAAAAGGATACACAGACTTTGTATAAATGTAGCCAAGAATGTAAAGTATTACCCAGGGTACATGCTATATAGAAGATAGTAAACAAGCCACAATGTGTGATTCATTCAGTTGATACTTCCTCAGACCTCAGTCATCATTTAAAAAATCATTCTTTGTGTACACAAATGTAATTTTGAAAACTTTAATTCAGTTCGGTTTCTTTATTGATGAACAATATTCAGTGTGATTTTTTACTTTTCGCAGGGGGAGAGAGTGTTGAAATCAAGAATCTACAAAAAGCACTGACCGAGTCATGGAAAGTCCCCTGTGTCTCTAAGAAAAAGAAAGTTGGAGTTCTCATTTCTGGATCAGGTTTGTACCTTAGATTTCCTGAAAAAGAGTTAAACTGAACCAGAGGCTCAAACTTTCCTGGTCAAAGTTTGTCTTGTATATCATGATCTGTATACGATTTTCTACCTTTGACATCAGAGCTTTTTTTTGTGCTAATTTTATGACCAGGCCATGTTTTACAAAAGAAGCTACGACTAAGACAAAAATATACTTTAAAAATTTGCAATTTATTTCATGTAATGTGAATACAAAGAATTCAGTAAATTTATATTACTGTAATATCACTTTAGAGAGATTTTTTAATTATGTGAAATTTATAGACTTGGTTGTAATTTTTTTGTAAAACACGACCAAGTCTTTTTGACATAAAGTGTTTTAAATTTTCAGATTTTTAAGAAGCATCAATATACTTTGACACATAAGATATTTCAAACCTTATATTGTTTTCCCACTTAGGAACCAATCTTCAGGCTTTGATAGACAGTACTAGAGGAGAGAACAACAACAGCTCCTCAGAGATTGTCCTAGTCATCTCAAATAAAGCAGGGGTCCAGGGACTCGAGCGCGCTCAAAAGGCAGGGATCAAAACTAAGGTCAGTCATCTAAATACAGCTTATATAAAGGTGCCCTCAAATATAGATGCTTAATTCTAGAAAGCTCAAACTTGCTAACTAAAGTCACTCTTTTTTTTTTTCTTTTCACCATGTCACTAAAGTCACTCAAGTGACCTAGTATTCCTTTCTGTTTTTGATCACCATGAAGTCAAGACCAAGACTAACTTGTTAACCTAGTACATTTCACATCATTGTTTAAACTATTGAAGTGCAGCTGTATATAACTTCATAAGAGTGATGGTGGTTGGTCATTGTGTTGACAGGTGGTTAACCACAAGGAGTTTAGGAGTCGTGTAGAATTTGATATGGAGGTAGACAGAGTTCTGAGAGAGGCTGCAGTGGATATTGTTTGTCTGGCTGGCTTCATGAGAATTTTGTCAGGTGTGTAGCCATAGAACCAAATACGTCCAACAGAAACTTTTCTTACAGAAGACAAGGTGTGCAATGTTACAGTAGATAATTTGTGGACAGTTTCATAGGAGGGATTAGAGTATGAAATAAACTACCTGAAATATTCAATAATGCCCTTAATTTTGGTACTTGTTTTTTTTTTTAATACAAAACAAAGTTTAACAGTTACAGTTGTAGGACAATTTGTAATAGCTAGTAGTAAGACTTAATAGATGCCACACATGATAAGTATGACTGTCACTAAAGAAAATTTTTGTTGTACAGGAGAGTTTGTGAAGAAATGGAGGGGGCACCTGTTAAATGTTCATCCATCACTGCTGCCTTCTTTCAAAGGTCATAATGCACATGAACAAGTCCTCACTGCAGGGGTCAGGATTTCTGGGTGCACGGTTCACTTTGTAGAGGTGAGTACTGTTTGCTCAGAAGATTAATCACTATATAACAGCACTTTAATTTCTTATTTAGTAATCATCCCTGCTTACTTTCCTCCAGGAGGAAGTTGATGCTGGGGCCATTATTGTCCAGGAGTCAGTTCCTGTGTATCCTAGGGATACTGTCACCTCATTGGCTGAGAGAGTAAAGAAGGTGGAGCATAAAGCCTTCCCACGAGCCCTAGAACTGGTGGCCAGTGGACAAGCGATTCTGAAGGATGGAGACATACAGTGGAGATAGAGAGGAAGAGTGGACAGATGTGTGAGACAATAAATAACATGTACTCAGGAAAAAAATAACAAAAAAGAATATTAAAAATCATGATGTGTATAGTTAAGCCTTAGAAATTTCAAAATCATGTAATTCAATAGAACTTCTTTAGTGTTCTACATATGTATTTGTAGCCCCCTCCTGGTCTGTCTTGTATACTGTGCACAATAAGTTGACCAGGTAAAGTAACTTTGGAATTGCACTTTAAAGGAATCAACTTACTGGTACTATTTGACCCTTAAAATTTGGAAATGTACTTTTCTATACAGTCATATAGTGTACCTGGCCATGAAGGGTCAACTAACTGTATCAACTTGCTCACTTGCTGCTAATAAATTGTTTTTTTAACCAAATATGAAATGCTACAAATATTTTTGATATTTCATTTTGTATTTATCTTTGTTTTGATGCAAGTATATAAACTATAGACATGACATATTACCTCTCATAAGATATAACTGCATACAATTTGCAGTCAAACACCCAAACCCTCAAAGAAAGAAAATGCTCTCATTACTAAAATTAATGCAAAGAGATGAAAGGGAGATAATGTTTACTGTTTAATGAAGTAAAATCATTTGCATATATAGCTGAGTTTGAATCTCATTTTTTGTAATTCTCATATGCTAAAAAACCTGTGATATGATGCAAGGGCATAATAATAGTTAATTTATAATCAGTATACTGGTATACTGTATACAGGGAAATTTTCACCTCTGTTTTATTTTCGCCTCTTTCTCCCTACACACTAGTGAGCAAATTTAAGACAGGGCGAATTCAAAGAAGACAGTATAATTACTTAAACAGAACGGTGACTTGGCGAATTTAAAATGGAGCAAAATTGTTTGCAGGTATGATAGGGCGAAAATAAGACAGAGTGAAAATAACCCTGTATACAGTATTTTGAATGAAATTCTAAGCATAATAAATACAAAAGTGACTCAATTATTTATCATACAGATAAGTCTGTAATTTTTGTAATATTGACTTTTGAATTTCTGCTCCAATATATCAGACTTGATCCGTATTTTGTTCAGAAGGACTAATTTTACTTTACTTTATTCTCTGCCACCTGTCAAGTTTATTATGTTCTCTGCTGTCAGTAAATTTTCTGAAGAAATGGGCTGTCAATGGGAGGCTAGTTTAAATCACAAATGTTTTTGTTACTTGATTGTTTGTAATGCAATAACTCATTTTTTTTAAAAGTTTATTTTCTTTAAATTAAAAAAGTGAGGATGCCATAGATACACTGTATTTACAATGAAAGTGCCATACTCAAAGCCATAATGTGAGCTTCAACATATATATAGCTTTAAATGTAACCTGTTAAGAATACATATGATGCTTTACTTTCATGTATATATCTAAATGTTCTGTGTTTTTGTTATTGTTGAAGGTAATAAAAGAAAATAAATAAGTAACTGTTATTTTATTTATAAAGTAAATATGTGCAATGATAATAAAGCATTATAGCTCATGGATATAAAGTTTACATACATGTAGATATAGTTGTTAGAGATGAGGGGAACTCATACATTGATGTTATATAGTTGATAGGGACCAGAGGTGCTAATACATTGATGTTATATAGTTGTTAGAGACCATAGGAGCTCAGTCATTGGTGTTATATAGTTGTTAGGGACCAGAGGAACTCATACATTGATAATTATATAGTTGTTAGGGACCATAGGAGCTCATACATTGATGTTATATAGTTGTTAGGGACCAGAGGTGTTCATATATTGATGTTATATAGTTGTTAGAGACCAGAGGAACTCATACATTCATATTATCTAGTTGTTAGGGGCCAGAGGAGCTCATACATGTACATGTACATTGATGTTATATAGAGCTCATACATTGATGTTATAGTTGTTAGGGATGAGAGGAGCTCTTACATTGATGTTTAATAGTTGTTAGAGAGCAGAGGAACTCGTACATTGATATTAGGTAGTTGTAAGGGACCAGTGGTGCACATATATTGATGTTATGGACCACAAGAGCTCATACATTGATAATTATATAGTTGTTAGGGACCAGAGGAACTCATATATTGACTTTATATAGTTGTTAGGGACCAGAGGGACCAGAGGAGCTCATACATTGATGTTATATAGTTGTTGTGGACCAGAAGAACTCATACATTGATGTTAGATAGTTGATAGGGACCAGAGGTGCTCATACATTGATGCTATATAGTTGTTAGAGACCATAGGAGCTCAGTCATTGATATTATATAGTTGTTAGGGACCATAGGAGCTCATTCATTGGTGTTATATAGTTGTTAGGGACCAGAAGAGCTCACACATTGACGTTATATAGGTGTTAGGGACCAGAGGAACTCATACATTGATGTTATATAGTTGTTAGGGACCAGAGGTGCTCATATATTGATGTTATATAGTTGTTAGGGACCAGAGGAACTCATACATTGATATTATCTAGTTGTTAGGGGCCAGAGGAACACATACATTGATGTTATATAGAGCTCATACATTGATGTTATAGTTGTTAGGGATGAGAGGAGCTCTTACATTGATGTTAAATAGTTGTTAGAGAGCAGAGGAACTCGTACATTGATATTAGGTAGTTGTAAGGGACCAGTGGTGCACATATATTGATGTTATATTATAGTTGTTAGGGACCAGAGGAGCTCATACATTGATGTTATATAGTTGTTAGGGACCAGAGGTGCTCATATATTGACTTTATATAGTTGTTAGGGACCAGAGGTGCTCATATATTGATGTTATATAGTTGATTGGGACCAGAGAAACTCCTACATTGATGTTATATAGTTGTTAGGGACCAGAGGACTTTGATCTTCCATTGTGGCCCCACCCTACTCAGGGGTCATGATTTGAACAAACTTGAATCTACATACCTGAGGATGATTCCAGATGAGTTTCATCTTTCCTGGCTCAGTGGTTCTTGAGAAGAAGATTTTAAAATATGCCATTAATTTTTTCACTAATTCGTAAATATCTTCCCTTAGAAGAGGGCGTGGCCCTTCATTTAAACAAACTTGAATCCCTTTACCCAAGTTTGCTTGAAATTGGCCCAGTAGTTCTGGAGAAGAACATGAAATTGTGAAAAGTTTACAACAACAACAATGATGACGACACCAACAACGACAACAGACAAAGAGCCATAGCGCATTTGATAGGCATTTTCGCCCACTCTACTAGTGATTTCTTAAATACATTTTTTAACCAAAATTTTGTCATACAGTCTTAGTTTATACATGCGTAAAACCAAATCACACAATAATGATATTTAAATATTAATAGTTCCCTCATATGATAAATTTGAAAATTATCCAGTTTGTATAGAATATATAGTAAATATTGAGGTATCCACCTAACGATGACAAACTGTTGCCAAAGACCACCCTTAACCAGAAAAACAACTTTTGAATAATTTTATTTGGATATACCTGCACTTCATTCCCTTTAGATAATTTTGGTTAAAGGTGGTCTTCATATTGAAAATGATTAAAATATATATTAAATTTTTCTTCTCATATAATCGTAAGATTTAGTAATCTGTCTTAAATTTATCAACTTCACATCAATGACTTCGTTGGCGCAGCGGTATGATTGCTGGAATGTAAATATGGTGATTGCGAGTTCGAGCCCCACATTTTTCCATTTATGTTTTTTTTTAAAAATTTTTCTTTGTGTATCTTTTCTACGTTTTTCTTTATTATGTTTTATAACATACACAATTTCAGAAAGATATACACATTACACTTTGAAAGTATCTCGGGAAAAGACAGTCCTTAACTATTTTATTAAAGTCTGCAAATTCATAGCAACTTGTTTTATTTTTATTGATTTTCTGCATAAATCTTTTGTCTCAGAATTAGAGTATTGAACAATTAAATTGATTGTCATTTGACATACTTGCAACACTCGTCCTCAAATCATATTAGATAGTTTGCTCTTGAATTGAAAAGGTACAGTATATCTATAAATAGAAACAGGTGATTTCCTTTTAAATTCTTGAGTCGGCCGTGTCGTCGGTAAGGCAGCTATGGCTCTTTCGATCAAAAAAGCTCAATTGAGCCTTCGGCTCAGGTGAGCTAAAAAACAGGCACAAAACTTTATATAATTTGTATAGTAATATATAATTCATGGCACATCTGAACACATCATATTAAACATAAATCTTATTTTAATATTTTTGGTAAAGTATTGCACAATTCCCATAATCAGTTCACTTTAGCAGTTGTCTTTTTTTTGCCCATTGGTGTGTAATCTGGAGAAAACCAAAGTCCATATAACATAACAGCATGACACATATGTAACAGGGAACTACTTAGTATGGTGGAAGGATATGTATTCCAACACAGCTCTATCACACCCAATACCAGGATACTGAAAACAAGAAAAGGCAAAGTTATCTGAAATAAACGTTTTTCATAAAGCAATCCAAAATCTTAAAGTTTCCTATGTACAGTCTACATGAGTGAATTAAAGCATATTTTAGTGAGCTGAAACCACTTTGTTCCTTTATATTTATCTACATCTATACTAAAGGAAGGAAACACTGGTCTGACAAACTGAATTCCAGAAAACCCTACATTGTATATCAGCCAGTATTGTTTTTTGTAAGAAATACTGAATTGTAAAGAGACAACATTTTTTTAATCCTTGTAGTAGCTAATAAAATCAAGTCTACTTAAAGAAAACACACAAGATAAAGTTAACATTTTCAACCTTGTATCTTATTTTAAACCATATCCTTATAAGCTTGTTATACATCTAACCTGTATCAGATGACTTACTTGACAATGGAAGGCTGAGCTGTTGACCAGAGAAGATAATGAAGTGTGTGGAAATACCAGACATAGAACTGATAATGAAGGGACCGACTAAAACTCATCCCTATCAGATTGGCTGTAAATAGGGGAAGTAATATCTGTAACACTGTCAAGGAGAGAAAAAAGTGCAACGTGCATGCACATGTAGGTCATGGATTACTGTTAAATCATTTATTTTTCAGGGGGCAAATATTCATGGTTTTTGGAGAAAAATATTGGGATTTGAGTTTGTGGTTGAAGAAAAAGCATGATACTGTAGTTTGAAATATTATTATTTTGTGGAGGATGATTTTGTTGGTCTCTAATCACACCAATAAAATAACAAAATTTACACCCCAACAAAAATAAAAGATTTCACAGTGTACTGTACATCATATAGAAGAGAGAGTGTTGGTATGTCTAGTATGGGATTAGCACACATCAAAGACAATAATTTAACTTGTAAAATAAAACTTACTTTGCTCTTTTAAATTACATGATGTAATATTCAAAATTAAGCATATATCATACAATCCAATTAATACATTATAGCCTCGAATGTAAAAAGGATATGATTTGGAGATAGTGTTGTGTTGGACTCTTTCATCCAGAGGCTGAAGTTGACACCTGGATATAACCTAAAAAAGTACGACAAAATCAGCATAGAAAATGGAAGCATATAAAATATGTATTCACAGACTTTAACAAATATCTAGTAAACATGAAATCTTTTTTTTCAATTTTAAATAAATGTAAAAAAAGGATGACTTCTAAAAGATCAAATAAATCTATATGTTAGTTTTTAATTTTGGCCTTGGAATATGACTCGGAGCATTCCAGTTTGAAAATCAGAAACCTTTGATGCAATGTATGCTAACCTCCTCCATTTAAATAAGAAAAACAAGATGAGAACTGTGACGTGTGAGATGAGTAGAGCTGACTGGAAATATTTACTGTGGAAAAGCTCCTCTGGAATCAGTCTCCAGTTAACGGTCCACATGTAGAAAAACTGACGACCAAAGTTAAATGACATCAGTATGTAACCAACAGGGTTCTCTAGTAGAAATGGAACTGCTAACACAACCTGGATTATAACAAGAGGCCCATGGGCCACATCGCTCACCTGAGCACATTGGCTAGGCAAAAGCACAATCAGTTCAGTATTGAAAAGACCGAGGGGGGGAAGGGGGGGCTTGAATTTTAAACTATCTGATGATGCTTCCATGTCAATATAACAAATGGCTTTGTACTTGAGAAGATTTTAAAAAAAAAATTCCCATATATTCCTTTGTAAAAATTTGATCCCCCATTGTGGCTCCTCCCCATCCCAGGGGTCATCATTTGAACAAACTTGAATCTACACTACCTGAGGATGCTTCCATATCAATATGACTAAACATAGCTTTTCTGTTTTTGAGAAGAAATATTTTTTCTATATGTTCTTATGTAAAACTTTCCATCCCCCATTGGGCCCCACCCTACCCCTGGGGGTCATCATTTGAACAAAATTGAATCTACACTACCTGAGGATGCTTCCATATCAATATGACTAAACATAGCTTTTCTGTTCGTCAGAAGAAGAAATTTTCCTTTATATTTCTATGTAAAACTTTGATCCTCCATTGTGGCTCCGCCCTACCCCCGGGGATCATGGTTTGAATAAACTTCAATCTACACTACCTGAGGATGCTTCCATATCAATATGACTCAACATAGCTTTTCTGTTCTTGAGAAGAAATATTTTTTCTATATGTTCTTATGTAAAACCTTCCATCCCCCATTGGGCCCCACCCTACCCCTGGGGGTCATCATTTGAACAAAATTGAATCTACACTACCTGAGGATGCTTCCATATCAAAATGACTAATCATGGTTTGCAGTTCTTCAGAAGAAGATATTTTCCTTTATATTTCTATGTAAAACTTTGATCCTCCATTGCGGCCCCGCCCTACCCCGGGGGGTCGTGGTTTGAACAAACTTGAATCTACACTACCTGAGGATGCTTCCATATCAATATGACTCATCATGGCTTTGCTGTTCTTGAGAAGAAGATTTTAAAAGATTTTTCCTGTATATTTCTATGTAAAACTTTGATCCTCCATTGTGGCCCCGCCCTACCCCCGGGGGTCATGATTTGAACAAACTTGAATCTACACTACCTGAGGATGCTTCCATATAAATATGACTCATCATGGCTTTGCTGTTCTTGAGAAGAAGATTTTAAAAGATTTTTCCTATATATTTCTATGTTAAACTTTGATCCTCCATTGCGGCCCCACCCTACCCCCGGGGGTCATGATTTGAACAAATTTGAATCTACACTACCTGAGGATGCTTCCATATCAATATGACTCATCATGGCTTTGCTGTTCTTGAGAAGAAGATTTTTAAAGATTTTTCCTATATATTTCTATGTAAAACTTTGATCCTCCATTGCGGCCCTGCCCTACCCCCGGGGGTCATGATTTGAACAAACTTGAATGTACACTACCTAAGGATGCTTCCACATGAGTTTCATCTTTCCTGGCCCTATGGTTCTTGAGAAGATGATTTTTAAATGATGCCATTATTTTTTCAGTAATTCCCAATTATCTCCCCTTGAAAGAGGGCGTGGCCCTTCATTTGAAAAAACTTGAATCCCCTTTACCCAAGGATACTTTGTGGCAAGTTTGGTTGAAATTGGCCCAGTGGTTCTTGAGAAGAAGTCAAAAATGTGAAAAGTTTACAGACAGACGGACGCCGGACAAAATGTGATCAGAAAAGCTCACTTGAGCTTTCAGCTCAGGTGAGCTAAAAAACCACAAACCAGGAATTGTTTGTGTGTGAGAAGTATTCTGAAGTCTGACTTGCATTATCTGCATCAGTAAACCAGTCACATTTAATGTGTTATTGATAAAACAAGAAGGCATCATCAATAATGTGAATTCTCAAAGACATGCTTTCCATCAGTAAACTAGAGATTACTTAATCAATGAATTTTTAAAAAATCTTTATAAAAAGTTACAATTATAAAGGATAATGACATAAAAACTTTAATAAATTTTCTAACAAAATTTGTACATTTTACTTTCAGTTTACATTGATTTTAAGAAGTACTTTTTATTCATTCTACAAAAAAATACTATTTTATTAATTTTAAATCTGAAAAAGTGCAAAATAAAAATGTTCAGAAATTCTTCTACAATTTTTTCTTTATATGTAAACAATGATACCTGAGGAGCAGCACATATGGTAAGGTACCAGATAGTTTTCAGTGTCCCAAATCTGACCATTAACAACATAAGTACAGCTGGACTGAACAGTAACAGGTTCATCTTGATGGACACACCCAAACTACAAAACAGAAGAGAAATTTCTTTTTAAAAGTACCAAAAGGAAGAATTGAATTTAATCAAAAAATTTAATACAACTTAAATGTTTCAATGTATGAATTTTACTAAAAAATTTCTTGAATAATTTCTATGAAACTTAACCACAGAAGGATGGATGGTGGACAGGACAAATACTACGGAACATGCAATATTGATGACGGGGCATGAAAATATAAAATGATTGAAGCAATTGGCTACAAGAGTTATCCCCACTTAATCAATTGCAAGTTAATGTAAACATGATGATATCTGGATTTACTTACCTGTACATCAGACAGCCAATGCCCCACTTGTCTCTGAGGAAGAAATTGACAGCTAGATACATAAAGAACATGGCTACCGGGTCATTAAACAGTCGCAGGACGTAGATAGAATGGATCCTGTAGGAGGCACAACACATAAACAAAAAGACATAAGGGGGGACCTAAAATGACAAAAAAAAATACAGTTACAGCAAAGATACTTATAATGAATGCATGCTTATCATTCTCTGTAGTTTAAAAACATACTATGAACTTTGAGGATATAACTAATGACATTTTAAACAAATATTTCCACTTCTATTTGTTTTCTCTGTGATAACTTTGAAAGCTGAGTTGATTTCTTGATAATTCTACCGGAATGTAAATTTCACAAAGAGAAAAGTCAGGAGCTAAGGAGGCCTAATATCATATGCATGTAAATCTCGTGCGGCTGTCTTTGTGTTTGACGTCAGTTGGCGGGGACTATTGAAATTGACATCGGAGGCCTCATGTAATTTAAATGTATTACATAACATTTTTTAAATCTGAATTTACAATTCTATTTCACAATGAAATGGAAATATAAGGAATCACTGTCACAAACTAGACAGTGATTCCTTAAATCAGTTGTTCCTCCCTGGCACTTTGCTATAAGTCTGAGGCTGTTTTGCTGCACGTACTTAAGTTGAAGTGTCAGCATATAACAAATTGTGTTTTAAAATGTTAGGAAAAAATTCGAAAAAAGACTGCTTTTTAAAATATCACAACAACATTATACAACTGACACTGTAATCATAAAATCAACTTATTTAATATTTATGACTATAGTATAAATATTCTTCAACGCAAGTTATTTTGCCTTGTTTTAAAGTTCTGGAAATTGCTTTTTGCTGAAATACTGCCTTTATTTAAGGAAAAAATATAAATTTTAACATTCTAAAAATCAAAAATTCTTTTGTTGTATAACTCAGTGTTTTCCCTTTATTTTAAAGTAAGAGAGTAGAGATCATCAGTAACAGGCTAGGGTTTAAGGTTTATCAGCAACATATCTGTGGATGTTATAACTATAACATTTTAATTTTTAGATTTTTAATTGTCATTTATATTAATTGACATGGTCATTTTGACCAGTGGCATATTCATTGGAAACATACTGTTTACTTGAGTAAATTTTTACCTTGTTTGTCCTCCTGTAGATGTCAAACAGGACCACCAGTGATAGTACGTAAAGCCCCGCAAATAAATACTGTCCTAGTCTGATATTGTGGCCGTAACCTGTGATATAATACAGGGCCAGGTAGATATACACAAAACCAGCAGGATACCTGTATAAAATAAACAAAAATCACAGAAAATGAACAGAAAACAGTGTACTCATGATTAAAGATGATCAAGCAAATATTCACGTACATACAGTTGAACTATAATACTCTCAAACAATGACATGCTGAACACAAGGGATTTGAAGAAGTCAGTTATTAGTCTCATAAATTTCAAGAGAACCAAGTATTCATGTACATACAGTTGGACTATAGTATCTCAAACAATGACATGCTGAACACAAGGGATTTAATTAAAGAAGTCTCATAAATTTTATTAATTCCATTATCAACTTCCTATCTGACACCTCAGAGTTTTTTTTCAACAGGTCTATAGATATCAAAGTTTCATAAGAATAAAGCTGAGATACAAGAAATCAGTACATATTGTACAAATGACTAATGGTTAATTCTTGCGTGTACATGTACAATGAAATTCAAGGGACCTGGAATATATTCTATTATATATCCATTATTTATTCATGTCTATCATTTAGAATTTATGTCTTTGTTATAATTGCTTGTTATGTGCTTGAATTTTCCACTGCTTCACTCATAACTTAAATCTTTTGTCTGGTGATCTTTATCTAAATGCATTTCTTGTTTTTAAAATAAAATTCTTAAATTGAATAGAGTACATCAGAACTAAGGAATTATATTCAAATCAATTTAGGTCATCCATTCAATGTTTACTATACATAAACAGCTAAACTTTGTTATCTCAAACTTTGATGTCTTGAACACCATGGATATGTCGAAGTGAATGAAAAGTCCCAATCACTTCTTCTTTATGTTTTTTAACCTTTATATCTTAAAGCATTGGATATTTTCAAGTTTTTTCTAAGTCCCATTGGGTTTGAGATATTAGGGTTTGATTGTACAATCCTCTGAATATATTACTTACACTAAGGGTCCTGTGTCTCCTCTAAGCTTGATGTAGTCATATGTTCCATTCACCACACCCTCCACCTCCTGCATATAAGCTTTCCAGTCTATCTCAGTATCTAAAATACAGTATTTTATTCAATAGAAAAATATTTTTAGTTATATGTACAAGTTTAGTTGATCCATTAAATGTAAATTATGGACCAAATAGCTCTTTTTACATGATTAAAACTAATATCTTTCATCTGTTCATTTTACAGACTTAAGTGCATAATTTATGATTGTGACTATACATGTAGTAAATTGAAGAGGATTTTGGGTGTGCTTTGTGTATTAATGACATCATTCATTTTTTCACTTAAGTGATAACATTAACTCTGGAATCTTCCTTAAGTTATAAGAATTGAGTCAGCAATAAGTAGAGTGCGATAATACTTCAGTGGTTTGCAATAAATGGGAAGAAGAAGAAGTAAGTTTAAGAAAAGTCATAAGATTAGAACTACAAATATTTTTGTAGTAATAAAAATGTGTGAGAAAGAAAAATTTATAACAATGTTGTGAAATTGAACTAAGCACATGCAGGCTGAACAAAAATTACAGAAATTTTACATCATTATCCAGGGACATAGCATTGTTTCTTAAAGGGGGGGGGGGGGCAGCCGGGGGTGGGGAAGGTTCCAACTTCTTTCAGTACCAAATTTTATTCATACACTAATTTGACTATTCCTACAACAAAAAGTGGGGGAAGGGGTGGGGTGGGGTGGGGGGTGGGGCAACCGGCCCTTTCAATTAACATTTCAAATAGTAAAAAAAGTCTTTGGAAAAAAGGGGGAAGCCCCCCCCCCCCATTGCTACGTGCCTGTTATCTTAGTAAACTGGCAGTTCTATCATTTGATATGTGTAGATTGCCTTTGATGAAGCTTAGACTGCCTTCACCCTAACAATTGCAATGACTGACAATTTTCTTTCAGAAAGGGTATACTTTTTTCTGAAATTACAAAGCTCAATTAATTTTTGCAAGTAGAGCACAGGGGCTTGCCAAGGACTGTTTGTCTTCTTACATTTTGACCACCCCCTACTCTTAACTATGAAGGGATGAGCCCCTTTGAATAAGGGTGAAACGTTTACTGAATTTTGTAAATGTTCAAACGAACAACAGTAAACGAAACATTACCATTTAAACGGGAGATTATTTTGTGTTGAATTTTTATGGCTACTTACTCATGAAACACTAATTTAATACTCCATTCTTTCACTATAATGTAGGTATGAGTTGTTATAACTCTTTATTTGTTGGTTTTTATGACGAAAGAATTTGAAGTGCATAAAACTTAATCACTTTCTATACCGTCACCCAATATTGCATTAATAGTTTGTTTGTTTGGCTACATACCAGATGTAGAAGAAGCATTGTCAAAGATGGATCTTTTAATCCTGAATTAAGTAAACCTCGATCTGCTGACGGTATTCAAAGACTTGTGAAAACGTATTATATATATTTAATCAAAGTGAATCAAGTTTTATACTTGGAAAAATAAAATAAAATCATAAAACATCGTTAGTATTTGCTACTCGGAAATCGGAATTAAATATGTTAGACGGTTTTGGGTTTTAGATAGTTTTGTTTAATAACATGTTACTGGTATTGATTAAAACAGAAAGCAATTGTTTTCTTTGTTAAATATGAAATAAAGCAACTTGTTTGTTTTTATCTTTACTTCTGATAGACATTGATAACGTTTGACCTTCGTGTAAACGTTTACTCAATTTGTAAACGTTTAGAGCATTTAATTGAAATGTCGCCATTTACACGTGTAATCGTTTCGCCCTTACCTCTGAAAAGAATCGACAATTTTTTTTACACATTCCAAAAATTATGGCAAACAATTTAATACTTATGTAAAAACTTATGGAATGGAGGACAATTATAGCGAGCCCAGCGAGCGGCGCGAAGCGCCGCTCGTCACTGCGAGCTCTAACGACAACGCCTGGGCGAAGAGAAAATTCGGACTACTGCACATTCATTCAATAGAATTTTTTTCCGCAGTAATTCTGACCCACAATGCATCGCTTCTTGTTCTCGCTGCTAACTTCGTTCACGCGGTGACAACAACTAAAATTTCACAAAAAATAAACTCACCTTAATTTAATGGCTATTGCATGCAGATAGATTAAACGTTCTTTGTTAAAATATTTGCACTTTTTAAACTTTGTTTATGGAAATGCAGCTAACATACGACGTCATGTGACGTCACAGTTTAGACGTTCCAAATTTCTCGTGCGGTTTGAAGAGGCGGATCTTAAAATGAAGTGAACAATGCGCTCGCCCCAACGGTCGCACCGTCAACATATTATAAGCCTATCTCAAAGCATCTGTTTCAAGAGTACAAAGAATGCACTGTAGGACTGGCTTAACTGTACACGTGTTAACTAAAAATTCTGTAAAACTCCTCTTACATTGCACAGCTGTTGTATATTACAAACTCAGATGCTGATTGAAAACTTACATTTAATCTTGTTAATCACTAAAATGTTTACAGCAATTTCAGCTATTAGGAGGGCACACATAGAAAAAATTGCAAGCTGTGGATCAAAAACAAGTCTATATAAATTATCTCTTGAAACAGAACTTCTTATTTTTTTCCACATGGAGGCTGCCATCTTTATTTTTAGATAAGACACTCTTCTAAGTTTCGAGGGAACATATTTTGGATGATAAGAAAGATAAAAATTCTAGACATCTTTTTAAAAAAAAAAATATTTATTGGAAATGATGCCATCATTGATGGGATGATGAAGTCTATTATGTCCGGAATTCGGAAATAGTAAGTCTAAAACACGACAAAGTACAAACTAACAAATTCCCTTTTAACTCTTCAACATTAGAAGGTGTGAAAGTAAACATATACTTTGGACAGGTCACAAACTGAAACTCTCAATACACACAATCAATCACGGGATTAGGTAACTGTTGAATGTAGGATCTGTCTGAATCTGATTCAATGGGTGATTCAAAACCTGTACGACTGAAATCAGCGTCAGGCTCGCTCGATTCGTCAGTCGTAGCGGAGGGAAATATGTCTGGCGATTTGTTGTCATTAGATATTTTGAGAGACCCACCCCCAGGGCCACTCGATGAATACAGAAAGAGAGCATCGTTTGACTGGAAGAAAATGAAAATGTTTTACTACGAAGAAGACATTCTTCGATTTCAGGTAATGTGGCCGCAGTGGATCTAAAATTCACTTCAGTGAAAAGTAAAAACATATCACTGATTGTAAGCTCTGTGACTTTGTTCTCTTCATGCTATATGTAGTTAGAATAATCTAACTGTGTCTCGGAACAAGCCCTCACCACAGTTAGAATAATCCCATATACTTGCCATAACAAACCTTTTTGAGATGGTATATGTCTTTTAATCTAAAAAATAATCCATATAAATACGAAAATTCAACTCATTTTCTCAACGTTTTTTCCTTGCTACAAATTTAACTCAATGTTGACATTTGGACCTCTCTGGATTGTTCATAGAAAATGCACAGAGTACGAGTTATTGCCCATGTTTATTTTGCAACATTGCCAATACACAGAACGAATCCTATCGTTAAACTGGGTCCATAGGACAGTATCATTTTAATGATAGAATGTTCTATCTATGCTATATGGCAAGACAATATTTACTTGTGCAAAAAAAAAAATTAATAAAAAAAAATCATTCACGCATGCATCTTTGCTATCCAACCATTTCTTATCTGCCTCACTCTTTAACTCTGATCGAGCTGCTATCAAAGTCAGGATTGTTTACATCACGTGGTCTTCAATCTTATCTCTGTACACATGAAAAATAAGTTTTTGACTGTGCCACCATTGCAGGTGGACCAATGTGCTGTTCATTCAAATTTTCTCTTTGATCAGGCATCTTAAGAGCTCTCAGTGTGATTATTAGTGCAAATGAATGTAAAATGATTTCTTCTTAACTGTAAACCTTGAAAGTTTTTGCATATAGAAATTACCAGATTGATTCTATTGAATCAGAGTTCATAATATTTTTTTTGTTAAAACTTTAAGGAATATTTTTTGCCAAGTTAAAGTTAAATCCACCATGATGCTATGTGTCTAAAAAGAAAAAGCATATTGGTGCTTGTAGCCATTTGGACTACCAAAAGTTTTCTTTTGAAAGACAGTATTGAACAGCATGCAGTGATCAAAAGATTTTCACTTTCATCTGCTCTCACACTTATATCTAATAAATACAGATGAAATTCACATTTTCTACCCTAGCTGTTATTTTCCCTTTACAATTATTTGACACAGAATAAAATATGGACAACATTGGAGAAGGACCCTATTTTTTCAATGCCAATGGAAACTCCTGCAGTGAAAGACTACAGAGAAGCTACATTTTTAAGATGCAAACGTTTGTTTGAGTACAATTTGATCAATGATGAAGAAATCTTCAATAATCCACTTAAACACAAAATGTTCACAGACTGTATCGGAATGTATGATTGGTCATTATCTGCCAAATTTTTACTGAATGTTGAGATGACAGGGGGCACAATTACAGCCTCAGGATCCCCACGACATGGTGAGATTGTGGAGAAAATCAAAAACTTTGAGGTGAGTCATGATAAAGAAAAAATCTTCCAGATGTTGAGATAATTATGAAAACTATGACAATTAATCTTTTATTGACAAAACACTTGATATAATTAAATGAATAAAAAAATTGATAAGAAAAGTGATAATCTAAATTTAAATTGATTTTGTTAATAATTTTAATTGACACCCCCCTCCCCTTCATGCACTGTTTATATTATATTCTTTGTTTTATATTGTAGTATTTTGGCTGTTTTGCTCTGACAGAACTTAGTCATGGTAGTAACACGAAGGCCATGAGAACAACAGCACATTACATACCAGAAACACAGGTCTGTAAAAAGAAGAAATACCCACTTTTTAAGTTAAAGACAAGGTAACTATGATTATGGCTGAGTTTTGGCCCTTTTTTGGGAAGAATATCAGAACACAGTTACTGTAACAGCTAGTTGTGACAGTTTGCAATTAGGAGCTTTTAATTAAATGATGCTTGTTTTAAAACCAGCACTAATTATGATTTAAAGCTTACAGGGAGGTCACAAGAGGATTACAAATTAGAACATTTTTACTGAATTTCCTAAAATCTGATGGAATTTCATTATATTAAAGATACATTTCACTTCAGTAACCACAAAGCACACACATCTCTGAAATTTCCATAGGAATTTTTAGGTCACCTGAGTTTACTCAGGTGATCTATTGCTATCTGTTTTCGTCCATCGTGCGTTAACATTTGAACATTTTCAGCTTCTTCTCTGGAACCACTGAACCAATTTTAACCAATTTTGGCATATAGCATCTATGTGTGATGAAGATTAAAAATTGTGAAATTCATGACCCCAACCCCGCTGGGGCCTGAGGAGTGGGGTTAAAAACCATCAAAATTAATGCAATCTTTAAAAATCTTCTTTACTCCTGGACATCAAGCAGGCAATCTGTTGGGATGAATGTAATAAGCTTGAGCCCTCTACTTATATTGTGAAATTCATGGCCCCAGGGTCAGGGGTTCTGGTGCTAGGGTGGGGCTCTGTTGAATATATAGTGATAATGTATTATTTCTTTAAAAAGCTTCTTCTCTGCAAACAAAATAAATGCATAGTTATGATGATGAAAGGTGCCTCTTCCAAAATTGTGAATTTCATGGCCCCTGGGTCAGGGGTTCTGATGTTAGGGTGGGGCTCTAATGATTACATAGTAAAAATGCAATAAGTCTTGTTTTTATAGTAATCATGTTAATGCATGAAATATATAAATTTGATAGGTCAGCAGGTGTAATGTGTGCTTTGTATCTTCTGAAACAAAATGTGCCTTAAAATTGTTGAAAATTTAAATGAAAATGAGAAAATTCATAAATTTTTTGATTATGAAGTATTGCATGGTTCATAGAGACACCCTAAAGTAGGGGCCAATAAGGGATCTTAACCTATCATGCCCCTTTTTGCTCAATGTTTTTTTTTTCCTGTTTGAATAAGATATCATTGAATGCTCTACAAATTTGTAGTGACATATATTTATGCCTAAATGAACCTGTATAGGTTAGAATGGCCCATATAGCACGTATTTGTATCTAGACTTAATATTTCATGTATGACAATTTTAATGATCAGATCGTATTTTAAACTATTATATCTTGTAGCATAAATTATTAATGGCAATACACAACTTCATTGATGTTTTTTCTATAATGGATATACAGGAGTTTGAGCTGAACACACCTGACTTTGAAGCCACAAAGATTTGGTCAGGAAACATGGGTAAAACTGCTACCCATGCTATAGTGTACGCCCAGCTGTATACCCCCGATGGAGGGTGTCAGGGCCTCCATTCCTTCGTTGTTCCTATCCGGGACCCAAAAACCTTACACTGCATCCCTGGGGTAGTGGTGGGGGACATGGGGGAGAAGCTAGGACAGAATGGGCTGGACAATGGGTAAGAGGAACAAAACTGATCAAATGAGAAAGTTGGCATTTAACACACATTTTCTAATTTTTCAATGTGTTGGTTATGAAGTGGTTTAAGAAATTATTGTAATCAGTTTGCTTTTTTAGCTGAAAAAAATCTTCATTACAGATTTATGTCTTTCAACAATTACCGCATTCCTAGAGAGTATCTACTGAACAAAACAGGGGATGTAACTCCTGAGGGAAAATATGTTACACCATATAAGGTAGGCACCCCATTCCTAAAGAGAGTATTTAATAATCAAATTAAAATAGGGGATGTAACTGCAGAGGGAAAATATGTCCCACCATACAAGGTAGGTACTCCATTCCCAGAGAGTATGTACTATGCAAAGCAGCTAGGGGAAGCAACTCCTGAAAGAAAATATGTCACTCCATACAAAGTAGGCACCCCATCCCTAGAGAGTATCTAAATGAACAACTCCAGAGGGAAAATGTGTCACACCATAAAAGGTGTGATGTATATTTGTATTGAGAAAGATAAACCAAGAAAGAAATTTAAAAGTTTAGAATAAAAATAGAGTATGATGCTTAAAAGACTTTTTTTTTTTAGAAAAACAAGATTGAAAGAACATATATGTATGTCTAATTACAGGACCCTAGTAAAAGATTTGGGGCCTCATTAGGGGCATTATCTGGGGGCCGAGTGGGTATCACTGGTATGTGTGTATGTAACCTGAAGCTCTGTATGCCTATTGCCATCAGATACTCAGCTGTCAGGAGACAGTTTGGTCCCACAGAGAAGGAGGAAATTCCAGTCATAGAGTATCAACTTCAGGTAAAGTCAGACTAACATGTAAATATACATACACGTAGAAAAAGCTTGATAGGTTAATCTTCAATTTATTTCTGATGTTGCAAGAAGACTACTTTTAATACCGTACAAAATTTTGCTTGCATGTAAAGAATTTATTTTGTTTACAGTAAATAAAAAGAAACTTTCATTGACAAGAACCTCAACATAGTTTTGTAAACCTGTAAAGATTTCTTCATGAATTTTTCATTATTTCAGCAATGGCGCCTGATTCCATATTTAGCAGCGACCTATGTTCTGGAGCACTTTGCAGACAGTTTTTTTATGGACTATGCCTCGCTGAGAATCAGCATTATGGTGGGGGATAAATCAGAGAGATCAGCTGAACTGGGTAAAGAAATCCACGCCCTGTCATGTGCCAGCAAACCTCTAGCTGGCTGGATAGCTAGAGATGCCATTCAAGAATGTCGAGAGGCCTGCGGGGGCCATGGGTACTTCAGGGGTCAGTTACAAACATACACTGTACAGACATAAAATTTTAATTTTTTTTTTAAATTTCTGAAGAGCTGTGCATAATAGTATTTGTTTTAGAGTTAAAAGCTTTTTCTAGAGATTTCTGTGTTCAATTTAAAATATACTGTCATGTCTTTCTGCTCCCGATTTTGTTGTTCACAATATGTATCGCAGTATTTTTTAGTGAATACCAGGGCAGGGTTGATATTCTATAAAAGGTTACAAAAAGAGTTACTTGTCCTTGTTCAAGTTAAATATGGCAGCAAACCACGGGCAATTGATTAGAAATAAAGAGAACAGCTGCTACATGAAACCACTTCAAGTTAAAACTGTATCTGGCTATCTCAAAATGAGACTAATAAAAATGACCCAACAAACTCAGCTAGACACATGGCCTGCACCACACAACCAACCAATGTTAATAGCAACTTGAGAACACATGATATTTGCATTTGTGTTTTCTTATAAGAGGAAAACAGAGTAAAATGAATATGAGTTTTATATTATGAGATACATGTATTGCAATACCAAGTTTAATTTTGCAATATGTATATTGCAATACGATTTTTCAGTTGTGATACCCAGCTCTAGTGTTTGATATATATTCAGAAATCACAACATGGGTTCTTCATTTAGAATAGTCTTATGAGTGAATGGAAGGGTATTACAGTTATATTTATTTAAAAATATACAGAGAACATTGTAGTAAATATACACAACATTAATTATTTTTTTCATCAAATTAATACATGTATAAAACTCTGAAATATTCTACTTCTGAATCAATATTATAAGAAAACACTCTTAATTCAAATAAAAGCAATTCTATTAAGTTGATTAAATGCAGAATAAATCAAAATAACATCTGATTTATAGTCTAAATAAATTTTGCACCATATCTTAATTGAGACTTTGAAGCTAGCTAAGGGTACAGAAAGCACGTCTTATTTAAATTAAAAAACAACAGCAACAAAAAACCCTCATACATTTACAAAAGCAAATTAATTTGATATCTGTAATGTTTATTTGTTGAAAATAAACATAGGAGACTAAGTATTAGCCCTTTCACGATAACTGCGGTACTACTCTTTTGCAGGGCAAATTAATAACATTTGGCAGAGTTTTTGTAGACAGATAATGAAATGACTTATTTAAAACAATTGATTTTACGTCATATTTCACCAAAATATATCATTTTGCCCTGCAAAAGAGCAGTACCGCAGTTATCGTGAAACAGTCTATTGTTACTCTCAGACTGATATTTACAGTGAACAGACTTGGTGTACTGAGGAATGATAACGATCCTAACTGTACTTACGAAGGAGACAATAACGTCATTCTACAACAGACCAGCAACTATCTGTTATCTCTGCTGGACAGGATTTCAAATGGTAGGAACTATGGGAAATATAAAAAACAAAGGCCCATGGGCCACATTGATCATGCGATTCACCTTAGCCCAGCTATTCTGAACAAGATTTAAAAAAATTCAGCTCTTTATAATTATTCCCAATGAACAAATATGCCCCCATTCTTTGTTCACCTTAGCTTCAGTGGATTATGATGAAATTGTATTCACACAACATGGGGATGCCTCAGTGGCAGTGTGACAAAAATGAAAATGATGTTCTTGAGAAAAGATTTTTAAAGATTTTACTCCTATATACATGTACATGCATTATGTAAAAATTTGATAAATGATTTAAGCCCCACAAAGCCCAGGATCCATAATTTGACCAAAAAAAATCCACACAAATCTGGAATGTTTGCATATCAGCATGATTTAGTGTGACCCTGCTACTCATGAAAGGATTTTTATACCCCACGCAACAAGTTGTGTGAGGTATAATGTTTTTGACCTGTCCATCAGTCAGTGTGTCAGTCAGTCAGTCCTGTTTTTTTGTCAGCGCAACTCCTCATAAACCACTGCACAGAATTTCGTCAAACTTTGCAGATATTTAGGACACAATGTGTAGATGTGCATATTACCAGGAAATTCCAATTCCTTTATTTTTCTGAGAATTTCAGCACTTTTCAACTTAAATTTTTGGCCATCTCTTGAATATAGGGATGAACAGTTTGTCAGCGCAACTCCTCTTAAACCACTGCACAGAATTTCGTCAAACTTTGCAGATATTTAGTACACAGTGTGTAGATGCGCATATTACCAGGAAATTCCGATTCCGTTATTTTTCTGGGAATTTCAGCACTTTTCAACTTAGATTTTTGGCCATCTCTTGAATATAGAGATGAACAGTTTGTTAGTGCAACTCCTCTTAAACCGCTGCACAGAATTTGGTTAAACTTTGCAGAATGATATTTAGTATTCAGTGTGTAGATGTGCATATTACCAGGATAATCCGATTCCATTATTTTTGCCCTAAGAGTTTTGCCTATTATTGAAGAAACTTTCCAGCTAGGTAATAAGGAAATCCACTGGAATCAGCTTTTGTAATGAAATTTTATGGGAAATATTTCATGACCTTAAAAGACCCCAATTGATTTTGAGATCAAAATATTAATGATTTAACACCCCCCCCCTCCCAAACACAAAATCTTGGATAGTTCTCCCCCTTCCCCCTTTTCAAATTGGTGCTTTGCCTTAAATAATTTCATAAGTACAGTATATAAACAAATTCATATGACTACATCATAATTTTGTTTCCATCAATTATTTAAATGTGTAAATTGTCATGTGTTGGACATGGACTTACAATCATTAAGAAATCGAAATCACTGAGAAATTTAAATAACAGTTTGTCAGCATAACGCCTGCACTGAATTTTCTGAAACTTTGTAGGTGTTTCAGGCATATTGTATAGATTTGTATATTACCAAGAAATTTTGATTCTATTATTTGTTTAGAAACTTCAGCCCAATTAAATTTGTAACATACAAAGATTTGAATGTCCTTATATGCAAGAAGTTTTGATGTGATGATTTTTTGCAAGTAATACCCCTTTTTGAATTATACTGTGTATTTAAAATGCACTGTGCCATTCATTATGTGTTGCATTGTTGAGTTTTGGGGGAGCGTGGGGTATGTGAGCTTACTCACTTTTTCTTTCATTTTAAAAATTTCCTTTGCATTCGCATGTAAAAATCTGATCCCTTATAAACTTGGCTACACCCTACCTCCAGGAAACATGATATGAACAAATCTTAATCTGCACTACCTGAAGAATTCTGCATATCAATATGACTTATTTGCCTTTTTTGAAAAGATAATTTTTAAAGATTTTTCCTATATATTCCCATGTAAACCTGATCCCATATTGTGGCCCCACCCTCACCTCGGGGGCCTTGATTGAAACAGATTGTATATACACTACATGAAGATACAATGTACTTGCATGTTGATTTCAATTTTGACTCTACTATTCTTGAGAAGAAAAATTTTCCAATATAATCAATATATTCCCATGTAAAATAATTGATGTTTTGGCCCAACCCTTTCCCCAGTGGCCATGGTTTGAACAAACTTAAATCTACACTTTGTCAGGAAGCTTTGACCTAAGTTTCATATTTTCTGGACCAGTCATTCTAGAGAAGATTTCTACGTCCCCACTCTATATTTGCTTTTTCTTGATTATCTCCCCTTGGAAGGGGGCATAGCCCTTCATCTGAACAAACTTGAATCCCCATCACCTAAGGATCCTTGTGCCTAGTTTGGTTTAAATTGGCTCTGTTGTTCCGGAGAAGAAGTCAAAAATGCGAAAAGTTTACAACTATAGTGTCAACAATAATGACGACAGACAAAGGGCAAATTTCAATCAGAAAAGCTCAATTGAGCCTTTGGCTCAGGTGATCTTATAAACCTATAATTATTAGCAATTATCTGTTAGCTCTGCTTGACATAATCTGCAATGGTAAAAACACGGAAATACAAAAAATAACAAAATATTCATGCAGTATTTTCTGTTGAAAAACATATGTAGTATGAATATTTATAGGTGAGGAGATCAATTCCCCGTTGGAGAGTGTCAACTTCCTTAACAATATGAAGAGCATCCTGAAGTCTAGATTTACCCCGACCTCTGTAGCCCAGTGTATGGACCCTGAGGGTGAGTCTTCTTCCGTGTGTCTCAGAATCTTTATCTCAGTTTTCTTTTTCTTAGAGTTTGTTTACAGAGTATTCAAAGGATGAAAGTAGCAACCAAAAAAAGAACACTACCAGTATTAGTTAATTTTGGGAAGTGACTTTATTTATCTATCTCTTTTTTTCTCTGTAAATAAAAAAAAAGTACATAACTTGAAAGGATTTTAAGTTAGTTTGTTTTGCAGTAAATTTATTATAATTGAATTTAACAATTCAATTTTACAACTGTCAGTGTAAGTTAGAGCATTTGTATAATTGACATCTTGATCAAAAGAGGTAACTCTAGGCTCATCTGAAAATGTATGTGTACATTTTTATGTTTTACTAAATTCATGTATTATCCATTTTTTATTTTCAGTGTGTGTTAATGCTTTCCGTTGGCTTGTGTGTCGACTTCTGATTGACAGTTCTCAGAGATTACAGTCCCAGTCTCAGAAGGGCAATGATGGATTCACAGCCAGGAATAACAGTCAGGCCTACTTCTGCAGGTCACTGGCACTAGCTTATATAGAGGTAAATAGAAGATATAGGTCACTAGGTCACAGCTAGGAATAACAGTCAGGCTTACTTCTGCATGTCCCTGGCTCAAACTTATATAGAGGTAAATATAGGTCACTAGGTCACAGCTAGGAATAACAGTCAGGCCTACTTCTGCAGGTCACTTGGTCTATCTTACAGTGGCTGCAATGTATTGTTGACAAACCAATTGTGTAGAATAGTTCGTGAAGCATGCGTGATCGTTTGTATAACATGAGAGATCATGTGTGTATCAGGCTCAATCGTTTGCGGTTTTAATCGTGCGAGATCATGTGGTAAGAAACGTGAAAATTTCGTTTTGTAAGTTTTTATCGGAATTTAATTTGTTAAACAAGCATTTCACTTGTCTGTTTTTTTAAAGAAATGAAGCGCGATTTACATAATTGAACAAACTAATTATCGCTGGTAAAAAAGCAATACAGTAAGTCGTATAATATTGTATTCTCTTAAAATAGCGCAACTTCTACTGATAAAACGTATTTAAGATGTTCAATGATATTTCTCTGATGTTAATGATGTGGTCAAGATATATTTTATTTCAATACATCAAAAATATATATTTTTACAAAAAAAAAAAAATTGTCAATGCTTACATTATTTCAATACATCAAAAATATATATTTTTACAAAAAAAAAAAAAAAATTGTCAATGCTTACATAAATATTTAGTTGGGGAATGAACACGACATAATTGTCGGGTTACTTTTTTCTGTGTTTATCCCTGATATTAATTTCTACAAATGACTGAATGGTAAAATAATTGCTGATTTTATAGATTCACAAATGGAAAGATGGATATAGTTTTAATTCATTTTTATGCCATTTTGTTTTTATCTTATCCTTCCTTACTGCATATCAGAAACTCTAATAGAATCAAAACTCACTGCCCACTTTTATCACCTGATAGAACACGCAGCAATCGATCATAAATTACATTTTTACATATCCAAAAGATAAATTTTTTTTTTCAATTTTCCTTAGTAGGAGAATTACACAAATAGTTATTTGTAATCTAGAATAACTACTGTAAATGTATACAGGGAAATTTTCGCCTCCGTTTTATTTTCGCTCCTTTCGCCCTAGACATAAGTGGGCGAATTTAAGACCGGGGGAATTCAAAGAAGGCAGTATAATTTCTTAAAAAGGATTGTGATTGGGCGAATTTAAAACGGGGCAAAATTGTTTGCAAGTGTGAAAGGGCGAAAATAACACGGGGCGAAAATAACCCTGTATACAGTATTCACTCTCATTTAGTTTCAAAAATATCAAATTTCTAAATATTTTTTTTCAGTTTTCCAAAGTACATGAATTGCATCAATAATTATTTGTAATCTAAAATAACTATATTAAGCCATGTATCGTTTTGAAAATATCCACTCCTAAATATTTTAACTGTTTTGCGTGAAGAATCGTGCGTTAGCAATCAAGAAAGATTCTGTAATGTGTAGAATCGTGTGCTTGAGTGATCCTTCGTGTAACAGGTTTAATCATGCATTAATCATGCAGAATTGTTTGTGTAACATGATCATTTGTGCATGTTGTCAACAATAACGTTGCAGCCACTGTATATAGAGGTAAATATAGGTCACTAGGTCACAGTTAAGAATAACAGTTAGGCATACTTAATTCTGCAGGTTTCTGGCTTTAGCTTATATAGAGGTAAAATAGGTCACTGGGTCACAGCTAAGAATAACAGTTAGGCTTACTTAATTCTGCAGATTACTGGCTTTAGCTTATATAGAGGTAAATACTGTAAACGTACTTTTTCTTCTGGGTCATAATTCTGCAGAATCTCATTTGTATTCAATCCACAGGTAGAACATTTTGCAGATTTGTTGGGTAGCCTAAGAATGTCTTAAATTCCGGTAATATGCAGTTTCTATTGGAAAATTTGTGACCATGTAAATTATTCCCAAATGGGAAAAAAGTACATCTACAGTAGTGGATATAGGTCAATATTATCATTAATGAAGTCTAAGGATATAGCAAACTGATTTTGTGCCCCGTAGACTAGGGGCTCCAAGGGTCTAATTCAGCCACAAAAATACAGAATTAGTCAAAAAGTTAGTCAAATACAGAATTATTCAAAAGGTTTGTCAAAAAAATGAACTCAGTTTATTTTTCACTAAAGGAAGTCTATTTCATAAATAGACAAACTTCAGAAAATGGAGTATTTATGATGTAGTCTTTGAATAGTTTGCAAAAATCATCAAAATCTCGCAATTTTAATCCGTAAATTGATCAAATAAAATACATCCACAAGCATGCAAAAAAATAAATTTATTTAAAATTGTTTATTATAAAGTATCTATCAACTGTTAAAGTAATGTATAATTTATTTCTAAAATGGGGCCAATTTTGGTCCTTGGAGCCTTTTCCTTAGCTCTTTTTAAAGATCTCAAAATTTAATATAATTATATATTTAACTGACACGATTTTTCGTAAGTTTTGAATCTATATCTTATGACCAGCTAACAGTCCTTGACCGGTTTGTGACCTTGTTACGAGAGGGCAAAGATGGAGATCTTGTTCCTGCAGATCTTGTTCCAGTTTTGGTCCGTATTGCTGCTCTGTTTGGACTCTGGAGTCTTGAGAAACACCTGACAACATTGTATCAAGGTAAATCTGAAATCACTATAGCCCAAGCTCACAACACTTCAAGATAAACTAACAGCACTTGTTTTCATTGCCTCCTTCCCCTTCCCCTTTGGCCTCAATGTCTCTTCTTAATTGATGTGTTGACCACATCGCCTGATATGATTAGAATGATAACCAAATAAGGACAAAGAAATAGTTCAAAGGTCATGCAAGATGCCATTATTATTAACATTGTTATTGATGAGATATTGGCAAAATAATATAAATTAATAATGTATGACAAATCATTTATTAATAAGTGCTATAAGATTTGATCTTACTCATTGGTTAAAGACCAAGTTTAAGCTGTAGCGGTATATATGTACTAATATAGTGGAGTCTTGATAATCAGGATACCAATGATCTGCAAAATCACTGAAGGGATTAATAAATTTAGTTTACTTTTTAATTAAAAGATATATATACAAAATTATTTTGAGTTATCTCTCTTACTGCTGTACCCTCAACGCTGAATGGTTAAACAGAGCTGGAGAATTTTCTTATGTACATTTACTTAGAAGTTAAGAATGATGATGAAAATTGCTCTTAATGTATACAGGTAATCCTGACCCCAGGGGAGGGGGTATCATATGTATTTGGTATGGACTTTAAGAGAGGTTGATTTCTATTGATTATTGATGATATGATATCATATAATAATGTCCTAAAGATCTGTCAAGATTGTCTGCCATTGTTGTTTGAAAGAGGTCGAAGTAACATGACATAGAAATTCAGATTTCTTAAGGCCATGATATTTTAATGCTAAAACTATGGATGGACATGATTTCATACATAACACAAAAGTTTTTCAACCATTAACAAATTATTAGTTCATTTAAAACAGCTAACAAATGAACTCTGCCAGCTTGCGAAAGAAATATATTGCCATGATCTGAATCTTGTGGAAATATAAGGTATTCCCCTACGTTTATTTGCCCTATAAGGGGTATTAGTCCTATTAGGAAATGAATGATTCTTTCATAACTGGAGCTGTCTTAGCCAATATACAAAAATTGATTCTTTGCAATAATTTCTTTATTTTGAAAAATGGGGGAGGGGGAGATAGCAATAGCACAGGGATATGCTGCAAATTTAGATGTATGATTTTACTAAATTTGTGGATAATTGTTTTAGACTGGCCCGGCCCCTGCATGAAATATTTAGGAATCCCATTGGTCATCCATCTGTCTGTCTAGCTGACTGGCTGTCCATATTCTATGATGAAACAATAAATCAAAAAGTTTACATTGTAAGAATTTCAAATTTTATACAAAAGGAGTTTATCATAAGAAAAACACTTGTATTATACTTTGTGATTGAATACTCTGATCTCTCTGTATGCATGTCTGTATTTATTTATAAATATCAATAATTCTCACACACATATGAGTGATTGCTCTGAGTCACCTTCATTATGTGTTATGTTTTGTTCCTAGCATTGCTGTACTAAGTACATTTGTCACTTTCTCACACCTTCATTATGAATTATATTTTATGTTTTGTTCTTATATATAGCTTTTCTGTACTAAGTACATTTGTCACTTCCTCACACTCAGTCCTATCTCTAGTTTTTCAGAAATAAAGTGTATGTTTTATCAGAGTGTTCCTCTACATGAGTTCAAATTCTATCTTACGTAATAAATAAATCAGGGTTTATAAATAAAAGTACAAAGTACATAATAGATGCCTGCTTCAAATTAGACTGTGAACATCATGTGGATCAACAGTTGAACACCTGTTTATGACAAATTAATGCTATAAAAAGTAAATATGAAAGACATTTTTGTAGATGGAATTGTGTGTGACGTGTGCATTTTGTTAGTAATTTAATGACATTTTATATGTTTTAATCAGTGAAGTTTGTACATTTAAGAATAAAGACCCTCCTCATGACACTTAATGAAATACTTGAAATATACTTGAACAATACTCGTAGACAAGCACATAAGCATTTGTAAACACATGGCACACTGTATAGATTAAAAAAACGGAAATATATATCAAACACAAAGTTCCGTGTTAGACGGAAGTTTTGGATATTTTCTGCAAAACTTTTCATCTTTTTGATTTAGAAATAAAGAACATTTTCCTGGGGGATTTCATAATTTTTTTAAAAAAAATTTCCTGTTTCAGTAAATTAAGGTTTTCCTGGTAAGTTTACAAAAATGGAAAATTCAGAATATTCATAAATAAAGCAAGTAGCTATTACATGAATAGAAGTTTTAGCTATAAAAGAAATTAAAATACATTTGAGTTATAAAATGTTGACAGACTTTGATGCTGGGTTAAGCCATCTTTATGACATGTAATCTTTATTTGACCAACTGATTAACATATGCATTCTATACTTAATTATTTTATAATAAACAATCTTTTCCATTCCAAAGCATTCCAAAACTGTATAAGACACATACTGATTATTACTGTAAAATCACTTTTTCATAGAAAAAAACATTGATTTGTGAAATTTAATTTTCTGAATGAGGATATTTTGAGATGTTATATACTTAAATTTTAACATTTCATAAAGGACATGAATTCATGGGTCTATTCATAAAAAAAGAAGAAAACCTCCATGAAAAATTAATGATTTTGAAGGTATTAACCCTCACTGTGCATGTTTCAGACAGTATTATCAGCCTTGAAGAACTGTGCATGTCTTATTTGCCTTTCTTTTATCTCTTTATCTCTTCTAAGAATGGCCTTCTGTATTTTACAGGAGGCTATGTGCTTGGTACTGAGGCCTCTAAGACTGTGGGAGGTCATTTCACAGCTGAATTATGAACTTGATGTATCTGTATTTTACAGGAGGCTATATACCTGGTAGTGAGGCCCCCAAGACAATGCAGGAGACCATTTTACAGCTGAGTTATGAACTTGATGTATTCTGTATTTTACAGGAGCCCGATATACCTTGGTAGTGAGGCCCCGAAGACAATGCTGGAGACCATTTTACAGCTGAGTTAAGAACTTGATGTATCTGTATTTTTTTACAGGAGGCTACATATCAGGAAGTGAGCCACCTAAGATGATCAGGGAGGCCATTTTACAGTTGTGTTATGAACTTAAAGATGATGCTGTGGCTCTCGTTGATGCCATTGCTCCTACAGACTTCATTCTGAATTCTCCGATTGGCAAATCTGATGGACAGGTATTGATTTCACTCTGAATTCTAACATTAGAAAGTCTGAATTGGATGGGCAATGACTTTCCTCAGTATTGACAAAGTTATAATTAAAATTTGATAAATTACATAAGAACAACTTAGATGTGAGTGATATTTATAGGAGGTACAATCTATTCTGTTTTTTTTCCTTCTTTAGATTTATAAGAACTTGTACAGTGCAATGATTCAAGGACCCAATGCTTTAGAAAGACCCACTTATTGGAAAGAATTTGTGGATAAACCTGTAATTGGAAGCAAGTCCAAATTATAAAATGAAACTCTTCTTGTTAGAGCTTTGCTTAACAAGTCAAGATATTTTGTGTATAATACATTTATCACCAGTGACAGATATTATTTACAACATATCAATAAAAAGAGAATACAAAACAGATACTTGTTTGCTAAGATTTTATTCTACATGAAGAGAAATGAATGGCTATAAAAATCAGTACTATGATTAATACTTTGTTAATCGGTCATTTATAAAATGTCACTCATTTCTAGAGGATTTAATATTACATGACAACATGTTTGTTGATGGAAGAAAAAGAAACAGCCTACCCTGTGTGTGATTGTGAAATTTTGATTCCAGAAGATTCCTTATTAACTGGCTCCTTGTAAAAATGAAGTACAATTTTAACATATTTAATTACTTGATTTACTTATAATATAAATCTTTAAGGTCTGATGGCATGTTCCTTGAATATTTTTTTGGTTCTCTTAATAGTATACCAGGAATATTTATCTAATTTATTAATATTACCTTATGACTTCTAGACTTGTTTCAAAATAAAAAAAAAATGTATATGTATATTAAAAATTGTGAATTCGGTAATTTTCAAAACTTCTAGTAGGATTTTAAAGTAAACCATCCTCTGAAATCTTGCACAAAGACCTCAATCTTATAGAAGCAATACTTCAAACACAAACTCTTATCTATATTATATATGATTTAAGGAAAGTTTCATCAGACCCTAAAGGTGATACTTTATGACTACTGTGTTTTGGTAGAATTACATAAAATTTATATTTCAGTGTTAGACTGAGGACTTTAGAATGCAATGAATGACTACAGAGGGAATCAAAATTCCTTTATAGGGAAATCTGCAACATACTTTAGAGCAAATTTAGTTGTGTTTGTTAAAGGCATTGTTATATGCATGAATAAACTGCTGAGATTCATTTGAAATAATGTTTATTTTATTTTCTTATTTTTTTTACTTTGTATATAAAACTAGACATCAAATTTAAAGTAAATGAATCCAATTTTGCTTATTTGCAATGTAATCTTTTAGGAGTCTCAGAAAAATCATGTAGAGTGTAGTTTGGAGTCTGTAGACAGTTGTTCAGAGGGAGGTCAGCTTACTATCATTCCAATAACAGTGTGTCACTTTGTTTGATTGATCCTGCTTAAGTTTCAAATGTTGATCATGCACCATATTTCTCATCAATTGGATGTTTGATATCAATAAAATGAATATTACTTTGCATATGAAACAGAGAACCCAGCAGTACACTGATAATACTGACCAATCACATTGAATGATTGCTTACGAGTACAGTATTTGTAATAAGGAGCAATGCATGGTCAGTCAAAGCCCATTGCTGGATTCTCTGTTCATAAGCAAAATAGTATTCATTGAAGTCAAACATCCAATTACATAGGCGTCGGAAACGGGGGGGGGGGGGGGGGGGGGGCTAGGGGGGCTTAGCCCCCCCACTTTTTTTGCAAAGATATACATAATATAGGCATTGAAAATTGGGGCTTACCTTTTTTCATTGGTTTAGCCCCCCCACTTTCAATTAGCCACCCCACTTTTAATTTGCTTCCGACGCCTATGAATTGTTGAAAAATATAGTGATCAACATTTGATACTTTAACATGCTCGATCAAACAAAATGACACACTGTTATTGGAATGATAGTAAATTCCTGCTTGGTCAGTCATATTTAAAAAAGTTTTTGAATGAACCATACTTAAAATCATTGACCATTGATATTAAATTCCAGATTATACTTGTTATGATATTTGATAATATCTAGAGGTGTGAAGAGCAAGGTTCACAAGGACCATGTTTGGCACTATAATATTCTGAAAATTAAAATTGTTCATTAATCTTGGACTTTGTATAATTCTGTGTATTATGGTGTTATGAATTTTGTAATTATTCCTGATTCATGAACATTTATTTCACTATGACTATTTTTTAAAAGCTTTTTATTCAGAAATTGTTGATTAAATAGAAGTGCAAGTTCCTGTATCAAAATTACAAGGAAGTATTGATAGACATGCTTCAAAAATTTCATTTTTTAAAATATTTTTTTTTTGTTTCAAGGGCTGTGATTATCATGCTAAAAGTACAGTGTGTGTGTACACAATATCATTTCTTTCTCTTCTAGGATTGCCATTCATATTGATTACGTTTAGTGCATTGTAGATAACCAAAACAGCAAGTTCATCATGTTATTTTAAGTTATTCATGAAATTAAAAAAAATCAAACATTAAGATAAAATTTTTGAGTCTTCTTTAAATGTACTCAAAGACACAATTTTTCTGTAAAATGAAAATAAAAAAAAATTGCTGTTTTGCAATTCTTTTTCTACAAATGGAGTACAGATGAGACTTGGAACTCTAGAAACTTGAGAATGTGCTTATGTAATCACAGCCTTAGATCAGAGGTCAAGATTGAAACCTCTCTGTTTGAAATTGTTTTCCTTAGCTTATTTTCTGTCCCCTAGGCCCAGTCAGGTTCAAACTTCATTTATAGAGTACCTGTGGGTAGAGGGTATGCAGCAACTTTGAACCAATTTACTAGATCAAAGGTCAAGATCGAAAAACCTCTCTGTGTAAAATCTTTATGCTCTTTCACTGTATATAATCAATAGAGCCCCCCCCGCCCCCTTCTCCCGAACCCCCGACCCTGGGGCTATTATCTGGAAAATATTTTCTGTCCCATTGAACCAGTTTGGCTAATACTTCACCTGTTGAATGAATACCTATGATAGATAGTATGTAGCGACCTTTAATCAATTTTCTTGATAAAAGACCTGTCCAGGACAGAAAACTTATTTGTGTAAAATCCTTGTCCGGGGAATATTTTCTCTCCCCCTTTAACTCTACCTGCCTCAAACTTCACCCATAAAAGTACCCATTGGGAGAGGGTGTGCAGTGACCTTTAGCTAAGTTCCTATGTTAGTGGTCAAGATTACAGCAAATCTTTGTAAAATTCTTTTCTTGGGCATTTTTTCTCCTATTGGTCCAATCTCACTCAAACTTCACCCAAAGAGTGACCATGGATAAAGGGACTTTCATCCTAATATCCTTTGCTAAAAGCGGGGTTCTTTGAAATGGTCACCATTTCAACAATGTCTAGTATCTAATAAAATTAGATGCATGATACAATCAAATGGAAGTGTGTTATTCGATAACAAAAGTACTCATGACAATGTTCACATGAGCATGACTACATAATTGTGTGTGTACACCTTGTGACACCTTGTCATGTAAAAATTCGTATCCATGCTTTCTTAATACTGATAGTTAAATAAGTGATTCATATATTTCACATGTTTAAGAGCCACGGTCGTCATGGTTATAGTTCATAATATAAAATCTTATGTTCTAGACAAATCGCTGAGATAACAACAAGATTTTGTTGAATTTAAAGGTTTGTGATGCATTTTTGTATATATTAATATTAACCTTGTCTATATGATCATAACTTGCAATAAAAGCATATATATTCTAGAAGTGGTGTAAATCAAATATGGATTCTCAAAAACTCCAAAGAACTTCAGAAAATTTAAAATTATCAATTTTTTCAAAAGTCAGTACATGTAAAAACGTACGACTTTTCTACACTTTATACTACTATTTTTCAAAATAAATTAAAAACAAGAATATGTGTCCCCCGCGTAGCATCCGGAACACCTCGGGCCTTTCACAGAAAAACACGTGTTTTTCTTTGAAATACCCGAGGTCTTCCGGATGCCCCGCGTAGGGAATAAGAAGACCCCCCCCCCCCCCCTTGGATTTGTAGAATTATTAAATGTATACATGTATATTGTAGCAAATAAAAAAAAAATGCCAATATGGATATAAAGATTTGATTGCTTAATCTTTAATATGTGTATAGAAGATTATTTTTATATAGAATGTTCATCACACTGTAATTATGATTGTATGAGCTTGTACAAGCCAGACGTCGTGTAACTTTTTCATTTCACATGCTGAATACTATCATTTAGTAAATCCAAAAAAAAAAAAAAAATTGATCGTCCTGGATTTGAACCCGGGACCTCTCATATGCTAAGCGAGAGTCATACCCCTAGACCACGGAGGCTCTTCCTTGTAAACTACCTAATTAAATTATGTGAACATTAGGTCACATATAACGTTTATATTCACGTCCGATATTGTCAAAATTTTACACAATACATGGTGTCTAATTTACATGTAGCGTTTACTAAACAGTTCTAATAGATGTAATAAGATTATAAAGTCCGCCGACAACCTGTATTATACGTAACAACTCTCCACATGCCCCTGTGCTAAAAATAGTGCCAAGCGACTTTTAATACAATAAATAATAATAATCACTGTAGGAAAGCCGATGACCGTAATATAGTTTACGGTCATCAAAACATGTCGGCTGAGATGATCGGTTGAAAATTTTCGACGGCGATTATAAACATTATTCAATAAAACTGAATAATTTAAGGTAATGGTTAAACGAACATCGATGTTATCTCCACACCAGTAGTTGTTGTTTACCCAAACAAAAGAAAATGAAATGATAAAAGGCATTCGAAATTTTGCAGTATGATGACCGTAACAAACACATTCCAGCGAGAAGATGATGACCGTAAAACAATTATATAGATGACCGTAATCTTTGTACAAAATCATGTTACATGTTTTATATCTTATTTAACATCAGTTCTACATGTTCTATAACACCCCTGTAAACAACTCTGATGCGATCGGCAACACTGATAAAATCATTGAAGAAGAAAGTATCGTAGGGAGTAAGTTAAAGCAGTTTTGTATGTACTGGAGTATAACCAGCTGTAAATAATGCTAGTAAATTTGTAAAATAATTTCTGTGCAAATGTTACGGATCAAATCGACAATGCTCCCAACATCGAATTTCCATGATTTGAGATAGTTCAGATTATTATCATCTATCGACATTGAAGGTCATTCTTAGAGGTATGAACAAAACATTTTAAAATTAAAACTGTATACATTAGCATCAAAACAACTTTTAATTGGAAATTTTGAAAACTGCGAGGCGGTCGTCAACGACATGTATCGTTTATTAATCGATCGTATAACTGGGAAATAGCGATCGTAAATTAAACGCATGAAAAAAAAAAATAGCACAAATCAGAGTAAACTCTGTTTAGGAAGTGTTATTTCGATGTATAATATATAGCTAAATTCAAATAAGGCAATCGGTCATTGTGATATATCGTTTTTAACCATTAAAATTGACCTACATAAATATCAGAAATTAAACTTAACTATGTTAATCAAGTAGATACTACGGAAAACGAACTGGAGGGCTCGCAAAATTTTACCTAAA